AAATAGGTTGGATAAATACTTGAGTGGGTGTGGGTGGGTGTGGGTGGGTGTGAGTTGGACCTGACTAGTTTGTGTTACTAGGTCATATGCCGTGTTCCTCCCCTAAGTGATGTGTCTGACCTCACTAGGTCAAGGCATTGGCTTAAGCTGATGGGAAAATTGGACCTGCCTCACATAAGTCAGTAGGCCTGTTGCAGTGTTCCTTCTTTCTTATGTTCTTAAGATACCTGCTGTCTGTGTTCACCCATCAGTAAAAGAGGTACCTGGGTGTTAGTGGACTGGTCTAGGTTGCCTCCTAGGACAAAACTGACCTAATATGCCCGAAATACTCTGCATAACAAGGGACTTTCTATATAGTACAGTAGTATGTCATTGATGTCAGCTAGGCCTATATACCTTGTACATGTACTTGTAAAAATAAAGATATTATTATTATATTATTATTTTGGGTCATCAGTTTTTCTACTCCCGGAGCCCAGTCATGGGCCAGGCTAATCTGGCGATTGCTTGATCAACCCAGGCTGTTGCTGCTGGAAGCCCACTGCCCCACATATCCATCACTTTGTTATTATAATCAAAACTAAGCACTAAACCACTAGGGTCATGCAACACTGATATATCCATCACAGCCTGGTCAATCTGGCACCTGGTGAAGATACTTATCCAATATCCTCTTGCAGACTTCTGCACTTGCTCCAGCAGCGTTTCTGATATCTTCTGGTAAGATGTTGAATAATCTGGGGCCATGAATGTTGACACAATGTTCTCTTATTGTGCACAAAACACCTCTACTTTTCACTGGGTTATTTTGCACTACCTCCCATATCTCTCGCTCCAGTATGTTATGGCAATTTGGGACCAGGCCCTTGAGTACTTTTCAGGTACATATTATCTTGTATCTCTCTCTCTTCCACTCCAGTGAGTACATATTTAAGGCTTTAAGGTATAGGGAAGTGGAGCTCCAATTCCTTGAATCAAGAACTCTCGCTGATATCAAATTATTATGACCCACAAGGGTCATACAGCTTCTGATATCAAAAAACTTTCCCTTGAATGGTACCCTCCTAAAGACTTCTGGCTCTCACTTTTGTTTTACCGACTCATATAATTATTATAATCAAAACTAAGCACTAAACCCACAAGGATCATACAGTGACTGACTCATATAATAATAACAATAATAATAATAATAATGATAATACTTTATTTCCACATATGGTATGTCATAGTTTTCACAGAATTGGATAACATTTAATATTACACAGGGAAAGTTCCTGGTTATGCAGAACATTTCAGGGAAGCTTAATAACCCCAGAAAGCCAAGCAGTGTAGCTTACTTCTGTTGGGATTCTTAGGTTCTTTCCCTGGATGTGATTCTCACCCGTCAACTAACTCCTCGGTATCTGTAAAATACTCGATGACCTGAAGCATTAAGTGTTAAACTTGTCCACAGATCTACCATAACCTGAGACTGAATCTGAGTTCTTTGGTTGTGAGTTGAGCTACAAGTACTATGATCCATATATGAATATTATTATTTTAGTCATGGGGGAGTGCTAAACCCATAGGATTATACAGCGCATGTGGGGAATGGAAGGTATTCAGGCTCAGTTCAAGGAACTGGAGCACGTATCCAATTCCCTAGACCAAGAGCCCCTCATCAGCATCAAGGAACCTCCCTTGAGAGGCATATACGAATAACCAGCACATAGAAGACAGAAACTTTTGATGATGTTTCTGTGGCTAGTAAATAGTCAAAGTCAGACCGAGATGTCAGGCATAAGTTTCTCTCTCCTATGTGCGGGTTATTTGTGTATTGTTCCAGTCACGGTATTGTGCCATAATCATTTATACTCTGAGAAGCCATCCAAAATGGTAAACCTAATGCAATAACAACTACAGCCAAGCTGGAATAAAATTTGAAATCCAGAGTACAGTGCTGTACTATGTTGCTTCCTGAAATGTTATATTGCGACTTATGATTAATGAGAAAGCTCTAAACTAGTAAGTGGTCATATAACACCTGGACAGTAGGAAGCTGTCAGATTCGATCTAAGAGGAGAGTGGCTGCACTTCTTTGGATCAGAAGTCCTGCTAAATCATATAATGAATAACAGACTTCTAGTTAAAGATGCATTACTACTGTATTGTTGCTGTACATTCACAAACAAAACCTACAACTGCATGGATCATACTACACTTGGCATACATATACAGTATATACATGTACAGGTCGGCCATCACTAATCCGGCATCGTTGGAACCTGTAGTGTGCAGGATTAGTGAGTTTGCCAGATTACAGTGTGATTAGGTTAGAATACACTTAATTAACCAATCAATAGACTCTGCTACATCTTCCTCATTTTCATCACTGCTTTCTCCTCCACTGGCTTGCTGCTGTGGATTTACAACCATCTGCACAATTTCTGAGTCAGTATAATGATGAAATTTGAAATTACGCTAGCCAAAATTAGTGCCAGATTGTTGATGGACCCGGAAAACTGATTGCCGGATTAGTGATGGCCAACCCGTATATGTATACATTTTGTTTTTTGTTTTTACATCAATAGATGTCTCCTGCCAAGACAGGATGATCCAAAGAAAATATATTCACCATCATACATTCAATCATTGTCTTTCCAGAAGTGTGCTGACATCACAATTCACATTACCTTCCTTCTGAGTGCAGATACTGCCCTTCCCACCTCCAGGACTCAAGTCCAGCTCACTGGTAATCCTGAATCTCTTCATATTATTATTATTATTATAATCAAGGGGGAAGCGCTAAACCCGGAGGATTATACAGCACCTGGGGGGAAGGATGTGGAAGGCATTCAGGCTTAATTCGGGGAACTGGAGCACAGATCCAATTCCCTAAATCAAGAGCCCCTCACCAACATCAAGGAACCTTCCTTGAGGGGAATCTCTTCATAAAAGTTACCTTGCTAACACCCAACTGTAGAAGGTTTATGGAAATTATTCTTCAATTGTCACTTCAAAGAACTGCCTAGTCACAAATTATTTAAAGTTGTTTATTCTAAGTGATTAATTATTGTACTATACAGGATTACCTAGCATTAAGGTGCTTCACTAATATGGCGCTCTTCAATTATTTTCATGTTAATTATTTTTCAGCGCTTGCCTTGGTCATAAGATGGTTTTCAGCATTGACGCACATTCCATTATTTTTACTTTTGCATCAGCTTTTAGATCTAGCACTACTGTGGCTTTTATATGTACCAGCAAGTGAAAAAAAGGCTGTGATTAACTTTAAGGCAATATTTGCCTTACGGCAGCAGTCTGGAACATAACCTGCCGTATTAGCGACGTATGCCTGTATATTCAAGATTGTAGGAACATTTGACATTTATTTTTGTTCATGTGCTGTTATTTATGTTTTGAAATATTCTTAGATATAAAAATGACAAACTCATAGAGGCATAATTTATTTTTAATTAGGGGGAGTGCTAAACCCTACTGGTTTAGTGCTTCCTGGTGGGTTTAGAGGTTGTAAAGTGCCTTGGAATAATTGAGAGGGCAAAATGGTTGAAGTGTCTATTATGGACACCTCAACCTGACAAACTCTTCCTGGACTAAGAGTCAAGGATATGAGTAAATATACAAAAACAGTTTGAAAAAATTACTGTTAATAAAACATTTTCCAGTAAAACTTTACAACTTAACTAGAATGCATTCATAATATGCATTCATAATAATAAAACTTCCATCTTTGAATTTAGTTAGGAATTTATTAAGATCTTTGTCCAACTGGACCAGAAACTTAAGACTGTGTACCAATTTTTTTTTTTTAACACATTGGCAGTCTCCCACCAAGGCAGAGTTACCCGAAAATGAAACACTTTTACCACCATTTACACAATCACTCTCTTGCCAAAGGCGTGCAGATATTACAGCTTATTTCCCCACACAAAAATATTGCTGCACAAATTTCCAAATTCTTATCCAATTAATGAGATCCATCTGTTCAAGATCCATATGTTAGAGACATTCAAAAATTAACACTACTTGAAAATGACTGGATTATTTTTTTATTCATTAATACATCGGCTGTTTCCCACCAAGGCAGGGTGGCCCGAAAAAGAAAAATTTTCACCATCATTCACTCCATCACTGTTTTGCCAGAGATGCACTTACACTACAGTTATAAAACTGCAATATTAACACCCCTCCTTCAGAGTGCAGGCACTGTACTTCTCGTCTCCAGGACTCTAAGTCCGGCCTGCCGGTTTCCCTGAATCCCTTCATAAACATTACCCTGCTCACACTACAGCACGTCAAGTCCTAAAATCCATTTGTCTCCATTCACTCCTATCTAACACGCTCTTGCATGCTTACTGGAAGTCCAAGCCCCTCACACACAAAACCTCCTTTACCTCCTCCCTCCTACCTTTCCTAGGCCGACCTGTACCCCGCCTTCCCTCCACTCCAGATTTATACACTCTCGAAGTTATTCTATTTTGTTCCATCCCCTCTACATGTCCAAACCACCTCAACAACCTCCTCAGCCCTCTGGGTAATAGTTTTGGTAATCCTGCACCACCTCCTAATTTCCAAACTATGAATTTTCTGCATTACATTCACGCCACACATTGCTCTCAGACACGAAATCTCCACTGCCACCAGCCTTCTCCTTGTTGCAACATTCACCACCCGTGCTTCACATTCACATAGGAGTGTTGGTATAACTATATTCTCATACATTTCCCTCTTTGCTTCCATGGACAAAGTTCTTTGTCTCCACAGACTCCTCAGTGCACCACTCACCTTTTTCCCATCAATTCTGATTCACCTCATCTATCATAGACCCATCTGCTGACACGTCCACTCCTAAATATCTGAATACATTTACCTCCTCCATACTCTCTCCCTCCCTCCAACAGGTTATCTAATCTTTCATTACCTAATTTTTTTTATCCTCATCACCTTACTCTTTCCTATATTCACTTTAAATTTTCTGGATATATTAGCAAAACAAAAACTCTGGCTTTGCTGCTTTATTTCTCAATAAATAAAATAGGTTATTAAAAATAAATTAAGTTACAGTGTCTTCTAAGCTACATTATTATATAAATTAAGTTAAAGATATGCCTTTTTGGCAATAGACACAAACACGTTGTAATATATGACTTTCAGTAACACCACAAATCCTATAGTTCCTGACACTGCACAACTTATTCGTTAAACACTATCCTACTTGCCTGTATGGTTAAATTTTAAGATAATTAAAATGTGGAAAATATTTTCACAATTAAGAATAAAAAAAGTACTGTACAAAGGTAATCATTACAGGCAGGATTACTCCATGCTTAAAAATACAGACTGACTGCAGTAATTAGATACATTGTCAGGGGAAATTCTAACTAGTTATTTTTCCATCAAAAGATAATAGCACATTAAATAACACATTTTACATTGCTCCTTGCTCTCTCCATTCACTGGGTACACACACACATGTTATTTTCCTCCTGATCTTCCGATTTCTCCTCCTGGAGCTTTCTCCACGCAAACATGGACTCCAGCACATCCCACAGGCAGGAGTCCTTTGGATAATCATTATCCACCAGATTCACAAGGTAGTAGTTGTTGGTAATGTGCTGGATTATTTCTCGTGATCGGCTTTCTTCAAGGTACAGCTTACCCCACTGTTCTTCCCAGAGGCCAAATGCTTCATCCTTTAAGAAAAAGAGGAAAATTATTTTACAGTACAGATGTGCTAGGAAGCACATATTATTATTATTATTATTATTATTTTTTTTTTTTTTTTTATTATCACACCGGCCGATTCCCACCAAGGCAGGGTGGCCCGAAAAAGAAAAACTTTCACCATCATTCACTCCATCACTGTCTTGCCAGAAGGGTGCTTTACACTACAGTTTTTAAACTGCAACATTAACACCCCTCCGTCAGAGTGCAGGCACTGTACTTCCCATCTCCAGGACTCAAGTCCGGCCTGCCGGTTTCCCTGAATCCCTTCATAAATGTTACTTTGCTCACACTCCAACAGCACGTCAAGTATTAAAAACCATTTGTCTCCATTCACTCCTATCAAACACGCTCAAGCATGCCTGCTGGAAGTCCAAGCCCCTCGCACACAAAACCTCCTTTACCCCCTCCCTCCAACCCTTCCTAGGCCGACCCCTACCCCGCCTTCCTTCCACTACAGACTGATACACTCTTGAAGTCATTCTGTTTCGCTCCATTCTCTCTACATGTCCGAACCACCTCAACAACCCTTCCTCAGCCCTCTGGACAACAGTTTTGGTAATCCCGCACCTCCTCCTAACTTCCAAACTACGAATTCTCTGCATTATATTCACACCACACATTGCCCTCAGACATGACATCTCCACTGCCTCCAGCCTTCTCCTCGCTGCAACATTCATCACCCACGCTTCACACCCATATAAGAGCGTTGGTAAAACTATACTCTCATACATTCCCCTCTTTGCCTCCAAGGACAAAGTTCTTTGTCTCCACAGACTCCTAAGTGCACCACTCACTCTTTTTCCCTCATCAATTCTATGATTCACCTCATCTTTCATAGACCCATCCGCTGACACGTCCACTCCCAAATATCTGAATACGTTCACCTCCTCCATACTCTCTCCCTCCAATCTGATATTCAATCTTTCATCACCTAATCTTTTTGTTATCCTCATAACCTTACTCTTTCCTGTATTCACCTTTAATTTTCTTCTTTTGCACACCCTACCAAATTCATCCACCAATCTCTGCAACTTCTCTTCAGAATCTCCCAAGAGCACAGTGTCATCAGCAAAGAGCAGCTGTGACAACTCCCACTTTGTGTGTGATTCTTTATCTTTTAACTCCACGCCTCTTGCCAAGACCCTCGCATTTACTTCTCTTACAACCCCATCTATAAATATATTAAACAACCACGGTGACATCACACATCCTTGTCTAAGGCCTACTTTTACTGGGAAAAAATTTCCCTCTTTCCTACATACTCTAACTTGAGCCTCACTATCCTCGTAAAAACTCTTCACTGCTTTCAGTAACCTACCTCCTACACCATACACTTGCAACATCTGCCACATTGCCCCCCTATCCACCCTGTCATTATTTTTATTATTATTATTGCAATAAAAATTAAGTGCTAAACCCACAAGGGTTACACAGTGCTGCTAGAATGCACATAAATATCTATAATACAATTCTGTAACCTACACATACATCAACTGTATATATAAATTGTCCCACAACTTGGCAGGGCTCAACTGTACCTGCTGAGTACTATATACATGCATACAAATTCATAGAAGTTGATTAAAAATGTAGTGTGTTGAAATCAATTTCAAAAGAATAGTAGTACTGTCTGAGTGATTTAGTTTGTCATCCAAGATCGTAAAGTATTATAGATAATGCAACCTAAATACTATGTGGGGTGAAATGGCATAATCAGGGACAACTCCAGAGGTTTCATACAGAAGAGGTTCAAGAGTGGCAGTCTGGTTGGATGATAGGTCTAGGGGACTTGTTCTGGTGTGAATATAATGCAGAGAATTCTTAGTTTGGAAATTAAGAGGAGGTGCAGGATTACCAAACTATTATACAGAGGGCTGAGGAGGGGTTGTTGAGATGGTTTGGACATGTAGAGAGGATGGAACAAAATAGAACGACTTCGAATGTATAAATCTGTAGTGGAGGGAAGGCGGAGTAGAGGTCAGTCTAGGAAAGGTTGGAGGGAGGGGGTAAAGGAGGTTTTGTGTGTGAGGGGCTTGGATTTCCAGCAAGCATGCAAGAGTGTGTTAGATAGGAGTGAATGGAGACAAATGGTTTTTAGGATTTGATGTGCTGTTGGAGTGTGAGCAGGGTAATGTTTATGAAGAGATTCAGGGAAACCGGCAGGCCAGACTTGAGTCCTGGAGATGGGAAGTACAGTGCCTGCACTCTGAAGGAGGGGTGTTAATGTTGCAGTTTTATAACTGTAGTGTAAGCGCACCTCTGGCAAGACAGTGATGGAGCGAATGATGGTGAAAGTTTTTCTTTTTTGAGCCACCCTACCTTGGTGGGAAATGGCCGATGTGTTAAATAAAAAATTATTATATTATTTTTTTTAATGAACCGGCCATATCCCACCAAGGCGGGATGACCTAAAAGGAAAAACGAAATCTTTTCTTTTTAAAATTTAGTAATTTATACAAGAGAAAGGGTTACTAGCCCCTTGCTCCCAGCATTTTAGTCACCTCTTACAACACACATGGCTTATGGAGGAAGAATTCTTCTCTACTTCCCCATGAAGATTTGTTATTTTTATTATTAGTACTATTTAGAGTAGTTTTTGGGCTTCAGCTTTCCTTTGTTCCCCTTGCTGCTGCCCCTGAGTATTGCTGACATATACAAAGATTCAAACAAAAGCTGTGTTAGAACAAGATAATATACCGTAAACCCTGTATGTTATGGCCGTATCAGTATAAAAGTCACTATAAATTAAAGTAGCAATAGCTCTGGTCACATATACTACACATCGCCTTGGTTACTGTTATATCACAACATTTTTCTCTTACATTATTTATAATTATTAATTCAAGCAGTAAATGAGCCTTACAGGTTTTGCATTTTCCAGTTATATTATATCAAGCTATTTAATATAGTGACCAAGTATTATTATTATTATTGTTAATAATAATATAACCTGTGTTAACTTCAGTTTCTGAAGTACTGTAATAAGATTAATTGTAACCCAACTCAAATAACCAGCAGTAAAAATGGATAGTTTAATATAAATCCGTTGAATGGAGGTGTCCTGATGAAGGGCTCCTGATCCAAGGAATTGGAACTATCCTAACCTTCCCTTACCCAAGTGTTGCATGATCCCTACAGGTTTAGCACTTCCCTGAATATAATATGTATTAAAAATAATACATATAAGATTTTATATGGCCCAGCATGCTTGACCATTATGTTGCATTTCATACATGTTTTTCTTATCAATCATGCAGAGAAAACACAGCTATGCTCTTCTCATCTGGGCATTTGCAACTGAGACAGTACTGTAATAAACAAATCTATAAGTTTAGGGAATTTAATTTGCAAGGGAAAAGGACAAAAATGCATTCACTTAGGACATCTTTATTGATGACTGAGTTCTGGAGACTTTGATCACTTCAAGCACATAAGCAGTATCAGAGAAAACAAGCTATGTATAGGGGTAGGAGAGAGAGTTTTAATATTCACTGGTAATAAAAAGAGTTGTAGTACATTCAGAATGCTAGAAATGGAGAAGACTTTATTTTATTGTTATATCACATTGCAGTCTTGGATGCCATGCTTTATGATCGTATGTATCAAGTCTGTGGAAATATTATAACTGCCAGTTTTAAGAACAATGATGGAGGAAGCAGTGAGTGATGCTTAGAGGCAATGATGTCACCTCAAATCTGGTTACCTGTGGATCAGTTTAGCATCTTTCCAACACATGATATGTTCCTCAGTGTCATTCCTGCTGCAGGTGTATCTGTCTTCATAAGTTCTAGTGAACAAGTCCCTCTCAGTCTCTTTCCATGTAGGCTTTTTCCACACTGCTTACACGGGATGATGTGAATTCCTATTTCTTTAGGGGGAGCATTAAGTGGAGGATTTTTTCTTGGTAAGGACTCTACAAGTCCACAGGAAGGAAAGACCAGGAGGAAATTGTCAAATAGATTTTATGAACAAATATATGCCTGCAGCAGGAAAGACACCAGCTACACACGTCATACACAGAAACACTAAAGAATACATCATCTGAGGAAAAGTCATTGCCTTTAAACATCACTCACTGCTACCTCCAATACCCATGTCCAAAAAGTTAGAAATTTCCACAATCTTGACACATACAATCTTAAAACATGTTTCCTGAGCACAATCTTGATACATATGATCTTAGGACATCACATGACTGTCACATAATACAGCAATAAGATAAACTCTTCTCTACACTACCAGCATACTGCACTTTCTACTACTACTATCATTACCAGCGAATATTAATACTATCACAATGACTATGGTGTACTAAAGCTATCTTCTCTCTCATCCCCCTATATATATGCTGTTTTCTCTCATGCTTCTCACACATTTAAAGTTGTCAAGGACCACTTAAAATACATGGTGTCCTAAGTGTCTGAATTTGAGTCCTTTTCCATATAGTTGTCAGCATTTAATACCATCCTACTACCAATTTAATTTACATCAGCAAAATACATAAGGTAGCCAAAGTAACACTAAGTCAGCAAAAGACAATCAGTCAGTGAACCAGTCTGTAAGTAGCCAGTGTTGTTGAACCTACCATTAAGAAGTCTGATATGGTGTGTTCCAGTCCTGTACAGTAAAGAGATTCATTTGTTACTTGATGGGTTGCAGAAGGAGTGTTTCTGTCTGGTGGTTAGTTAATGAAGGATTGAAGTTTCCAACACTCCATGTGCTGAATGACCCCTGCACATCTAGTGCTTCATAAATAATAGTGTATTGTGCATATTGTTGGTGTGTGGTATTTCACTTCACTAAAGTGTTATCCTCTAACTTGTTTCCACTAGAATCCCTTTCTATGATACAATATAAAACTAGTGAAAAAATAATAAGGCACAATACTGTGACTGGAACAATACACAAACAACCCACACACAGGAGACAAACTTATGATGATGTTTCAGTCCAACTCACACACTAGTTAATGGTCCAAGTTGGATTTAAACATTGTCACAAGCTTCGGTCTCCCATACATTGGTTATCTGTGTACTAATGAAAAAAATTCCACATCAGACAATACTCTTAATGCAATAGACTAGGATCAAATTAAAGTTAAAACTCTTATATTATATAAATACTGGTTATTAACCTGCATGTAACTGTGGGAATTAATGAATAATTCAGGATAATTCTGTAGTTTTCGCACACCAGGTATCGTAGAAAAAGACTAGTAATGTAATCCTACAGATTACATTACTAGTTATAATAATACTGATTACTCCCAAGTTGCAGTACTGAATAAACAATGCAGATTTACCATATTTTACAGCATCGAAGATGCTATTTTTTTCTCAAAATAAGTTTCGAAAATTTACCCAGCATCTTGGAGGCCAGAGTACCATTTATCTTTTTTTCCAAAATTTAGGCAATTAGAATTGGAGGGAGGGGGGCCTCCTCGACACTGGAGCATCTTGTTCGCTGTAAAATATGGTAGTTATTCTTTATAAATATAATTCCAGTACACCCAAGTATGATAATGTTCCTTGCACCAATGGATGCCATCCTGTGACATGTGTAACTGGTTTCCGGAGTTCTACCATCTTGAAGCCTGGCCTGAGGCTAGTTTGCACTAAACGTCTTACATCTACAACCTTGAAACTCAAACCCTCAATTCAAACAGTTTATCCTGTTCACAGGAAAAGTGCACCATCAATAAACGTACTTTGGAAATAGTGAATAAAATCAGCTGGGTCAGTTGATTCAGAACCAAAAGACAAAGTCCACTAGTTACAGAACTGTCCATAATTGTTACTATTTCGACAAAACAATTTCCATTACCTGCCACCCCCATTAATCCATTATAGGGATTAATGTAATGTGTACATACTGTGGTAAATATTAGGTAAACTGTTGTGCAAACTTATCCAGAATAAGTAACAATTTTAGGCACGACGAAACAGGTAGAGTTTGAACTCATGGTGAGGGAGTTGTAAAACCACACCAGTTTTGTGGTTTGTTACCCCTCAAGGGAGGTTCCTTGACATTGGTGAGAGGCTCTTGATCTAGGGAATTGGATCTATGCTCCAGTTCCCTGAATTAAGCCTGAATACCCTCCATCCCCCACATGCTCTGTATAATCCTACGGGTTTAGCGCTCCCCCATGATTATAATTATAATTGTGGTTTGTTTGTATTGACATTACTGTATTACGATTTCACGAGTCAAAGTGACAATCTTTTCTGATGTTATCTACCCAAAATCAGTATTTAGGCACTTATGGAGTCTTAAAGTACAAACAGTAATTTAAATGTATTTATGTAAAGCACTAAATCCACGTGGGTCATTCAGCACAAGTAGTGGAAACTCACTCCTCTATAAGTTTATATAGGTACGGGTACACATAAATACAATTATGACAATGTAAATTACATATAATAACCCAATAAAATCAGACAAAGTGACTTATTTCTATTGGGGTCCTTGTAATATCTTATTCAAACTTTAAAAATTAAAAGAGCTAAGTAACTTAACTGCATGAAAATCATTTACAATAAAAGGAGATACAATAGGAATAAAGTTAACTGAATTATTTACTTTAACATTAGAGCAATAGATTCATCCTCCCACAGTCAGGCTTTCTTTAAAGTAATTCATAAAAGATAGAGAAAAAAAGAAATTCAATGAAATAAGGCATTATATAAACAGTAACAACACTGGGCATGACAGGATACATGCAATGAATACACAGATAACCCACACGTAGGAGAAAGAAACTTATGACGATGTTTCATTTCAACTCGAACCACTAACTAGTCACAGTGTGTAACTACTTAATGGTCCAAGTTGGAATGAAATGTTGTCATAAGTTTCTTTCTCCTTAGTGCGGGCTATTTGTGTATTGTTCCAGTCACGGTATTGTGCCTTTTTGTTTTTCATACAATGAAATTATATTTATGACAGGACACACAAAACATCCGTTCTGATTTGTAGAAAACATACATTAATGTACTATTTTACCTTCCAAGCCTTAAAGCTAAGTGGGTCCACTATAGTTGGTTGTATTATCTCAGTGCCTGGGAATGCACCCCATGTTACAGCAACTGGCCGATGCTTATGACAGTTGCTGAAATCGGCAGAGCCCTGAAAGCAAACAGAGCCTTTAAAACTTAATTGGCTAATGTAAAAATTCAAGTGAACAGTTCTTACACTAGATGCATGTGAGGATAACATTTATGAAGAGATTCAGGGAAACTCATTAGCTAGAACTGAGTCCTCAAGAGTGAGAGTAGAATGTCTGTACTCTCTGAAGGAGGGGCTGGCAAGACAGCTGCTGGATGAATGATAGTGAATGCAGTTCTTTTTTTTTGGGGGGGGGGGGGTTACCTGTCTTTGTGGGAAATGGCTAGTTCTTTGTCATTTTCTATAAAAAAGTAAATGCTCTGGGACTTCTGACTGTTACACAGATTTGTGTAACCTGTGTGGATCAGTCACAACAGCACAAATTAATAAAAATTATGCAAGAAGGAAACAGTGAGATTCAAATGAATGCAGAAATTAAATCAATTTAATTCTAACAGATGGTGCATAATTCAGCATGCATCAATGCTGAAAGAAAGACTGAGATCATTTTTCTTCAGTCAGAAATATTAATGATGTCTCTTCTTTCTCCTTCTTTCAACACACTGGCTATATCCCACCAAGGCAGGGTGGCACAAAAGGAAAAATGAAAGTTTCTCCTTTTAAATTTAGTAATATATATAGGAGAAGGGGTTACTAGCCCCTAGCTCCTGGCATTTTAGTTGCCTCTTATGACATGCATGGCTTACAGAGGAAGAATTCTGTTCCGCTTCCCCATGGAGATAAGAGGAAATAAACAAGAGCAAGAACTAGTAAGAAAATAGAAGAAAACCCAGAGGGGTGTGTATATATATGCTTGGTATAAACCTTGGTAATAAATACTTGAGTCCTGGAAATGGGAAGTACAATGCCTGCACTCTAAAGGAGGGGTTCAGGATATTAGCAGTTTGGAGGGATATGTTGTGTATCTTTATACATATATGCTTCTAAACTGTTGTGTTCTGAGTACCTCTGCAAGAACAGTGATTATGTGTGAGTGAGGTGAAAGTGTTGAATGATGATGAAAGTATTTTCTTTTTGGGAATTTTCTTTCTTTTTGGGTCACCCTGCTTCGGTGGGAGGCGGCTGACTTGTTAAAAAAAAAAAAAAGTTGATTTACAAAGATACGTAAGCAAACACTAATATATTTATTAAAAAAAGTTTCGGTCCTGGGGCCTTGATCACTTCTAACATAACTCTATGCCTATATATAATGTCTTTCTACCTCTGTATGTTAGAAGTGATCAAGGTCCCAGGACCGAAATGTTTTCTAATAAATATGTCACAGTGTTTGCTTACGTGTCTTTCTAAACCATATACAGTGGACCCCCGATTAACGATATTTTTTCATTCCAGAAGTATGTTCAGGTGCCAGTACTGACCGAATTTGTTCCCATAAGGAATATTGTGAAGTAGATTAGTCCATTTCAGACCCCCAAACATACACGTACAAACGCACTTACATAAATACACTTACATAATTGGTCGCATTGGGAGGTGATCGTTAAGCGGGGGTCCACTGTATATGCTTGTACATGCATGTGCAGTGTGACCTAAGTGTAAGTAGAAGTAGCAAGATGTACCTGAAATCTTGCATGTTTATGAGACAAAAAAGACACCAGCAATCCTACCATCACATAAAACAAATACAGGCTTCCGTTTTACACTCATTTGGCAGGACAGTAGTACCTCCCTGGCTGATTGCTGTCTACCAACCTACTACCTAGGTAATGATGTCTCTATGGTGAAATAATCAATGTAGAGTATAAATGGATGTGTATTACTTTAGAAAATATTAATCATAAAAAAGAAAAGTCATTCAGTTAATTAAAAGATAAGAAATTGAAATCTGTCTGGATTAAAAAAATCAATAAAGAATCAGAGTGCACAATCAAAAGAAGACAACACATGAATTAATCTATCAATTTTGTTTTTGTTTAAGTAATGCTACTAAGTCATTCACGACTAAATTCTTACAGGGATGCATAATTTTTACACAAAAGGTTACTTCTTGAATTTAATAAAAGCAAATTTTGCATCCAATATAGCGCATATATGATTATCTTTAGTTCTTGTTCTTCTTCATTTCCTCTAGTCTCCATGAAAAAGTGAGACAGAATGGTAAGAGGTGACTAAAATGCCAGGAACAAGGGACTAATAACCCCTTCTCGTGTATACATTACTAAATTTAAAAAGAAACACATTCATTTTTTCTTCTTATTATTATTTTTAGTAATCTTTACAGGAAAAGGGGTTACTAGCCCATTGTTCCCAGCATTTTAGTTGACTTTTACAACATGCATGGCTTACGGAGGAAAGATTCTTATTCCACTTCCCCATGGTATAAAAGGAAAAGTAATAAGACCAAGAACCATTAAGATAAAATCAAAGAAAACTCAGATGAGTGTGTATAAATAAACGTGTACATGTATGTGTAGTGTGACCTAAGTGTAAGTAGAAATAGCAAGACATACCTGTAATCTTGCATATTTATGAGACAGACAAAAGACACCAGCAATCCTACCATCATGTAAAACAATTACAGGCTTTCGTTTTACACTCACTTGGCAGGACGGTAGTACCTCCCTGGGTGGTTGCTGTCTACCAACCTACTACCTGACGATCTGTTGGAGTGTGAGCAGGGTAATATTTAGTGAAGGGATTCAGGGAAACCGGTTATTTTCATATAGTCGGACTTGAGTCCTGGAAATGGGAAGTACAATGCCTGCACTTTAATGGAGGGGTTTGGGATATTAGCAGTTTGGAGGGATATGTTGTGTATCTTTATATGTATATGCTTCTAAACTGTTGTATTCTGAGCACCTCTGCAAAAACAGTGATAATGTGTGAGTGTGGTGAAAGTGTTGAATGAGGAAAGTATTTTCTTTTTGGGGATTTTCTTTCTTTTTTGGGTCACCCTGCCTCGGTGGGAGACGACTGACTTGTTGAAAAAAAAAAAGAAACATTCATTTTTGTTTTTAAGTCACCCTGCCTTGGTGGGACATGGCTAGTTTGTTGAAAGAAAAATAGATTCTTTCAATGTTTAATGGGTGTCCATCTAAAAATGCAAAGAAAGCAGCTTTAAGAGTAGAAATGTTTTCCAGACTCGTAAAAAATATTCAAATACTTACAGATTTGTTTAAAATGTGGTAGTTGATCCTGGGGAAGAGAGGCAGAATGTTCAAGAGAGCATCAACATTCTCACGACAAGTAAAGAACTCCAAATAAGCCTTTTGATACACATAGCCACCAGGCATACCCCAGCCAACAACTGGATCCTCACTGCTTGCTCCATTGACATTGGGCTGCAATAATAATCATATATTAAAAAATATCTAAAACTCATTAAAAAACAAATTTAATTTGAAGAAAACTATACATATCTTTACATGAAAGCCACATGAATGAATCTTTGTCACATACTGTACGTACAGATAATATACCTGTGCTCGAGTTCTAAAACTTAAAAAAAAAAAAATGTGAAATAAGCAAAGTGTTACCATTGGCTGGGTTCTCTGACTTTGCCCACTGTTAATAACACATTACCCCTTAAACCTGTGTACATACATGTATGTGTACATGTGCGTGTATGTTTTTTTTTTTTTTTTTTTTTTTTAACAAGTTGGCTGTCTCCCACCAAGGCAGGGTGACCCAAAAAGAAAGAAAATACTTTCATCATCATTCAACACTATCACCTCACTCATACATAATTCATGCCTGCATGAATAACTCATTATCATTGTGACCAGACAAACATGTAAATAGTTCATTACCACTCTAATTTGTTCAGCTATCAAAACTTTGCAGCCCAGTCCATGGACCCATTATGTACGTACCTCCGTAATTCTTTGACTACCACCTACAGGATGGGTTTGGGGTGCATAAAAAAGATATTAAACTAACTGGCTGGGATTTTCCATGACAGCATTATCGAGTTTTCTTTGATTGAACTTACAGTGAAGCATCACCTGGCAATCTGTCCTATTTTTCTCCACTTTAATGCTGCATTTGCAATATAGTTTCTCCATTTTTACAGTTTCTAATATACCTACTTACACTTTTGGTATTTCCTTCTTCATCCCTTCCAGTTTCTTATTTACACATGCTTGCTAAGAAAAGTCTCATTTTATGCAGGTCACATGGACCATCATGGACAGCACACACAAATTGTTAGTTGTGAGGGTATACAGTGTAAACACTGTTAATGGAAGTCAATAATATGAAGAAAATTTCAAGACACTATTTACAGAGCAAACTTTTATTTAAAGACAAAGTTTCATGTAGTGTCAACACATGATGCATGTGACACTTGCTTGTCACCCTGTAAAACTTTATTTTGCAAATGCATCTTCTTACCAAATTAGCCCTCCTGCTATGCCAAAACATACGTAGGTTGACAAGGATAAATTGTACAGACAGATGATGTACAGGACAGAGGGAATACAGTTAATGATGAAGGCAAGGAGCAACACACACAGTTCAGTGTGGCAGCTACTAACATACCTGAGAGTTGATGGTGAGGACTCCTCGCTTGTTGAAGTCAGCCAGATTCTCCTTGAGCAACGAGGTCTCGGAACTTAACTCATCATCATTCCATGGCACCTGATGATAATCAGGAGCAGAAAACAGTTAATATAAGGGAATAAGTATCATGATGGAAGAGCACTGATAGTGTTGCCTTACAAGAATCAGTACTGGGATCCATACTGTTCATTTTTTTTTTTTTTTAACATGTCAGCTGTCTCCCACAGAGGCAGGTTGCCTCTACTGTCCATAGTGTATATTAGTAACCTGACAACAGAAATACACTCTTACATAACCTGTTTGCAAATGATGCCAAAATAATAAAAAATACACAAAGACAACCTTTAGGAATCTTAAATAAATGGTTATGGAGTTTAACCCCAGCAAAAGCAAAGTTATGAATCTGGGAAGCATAGACAGGAGACTGAATACAGAGCTACATCTGAGAAAAAAAGTATCAAAAACGTCAAAAAGAACTGAGAAATATCCAAAACCATGAACCTGTCTCATGAAGTGCACAAAGTTTTTTTTTTTTTTACTTCAACAACCAACTGCCAAGGTAGGGTGACTCAAATGAGGAAGAACCATTCACTATCATTCATTTATATGTTGTGCCAGAAGTGTGCAGCCATCTTAATTCAGATTATCTTTCAACTACATCACCCCTCCTTCAAAGTGCAGGTACTGCACTTTCTACTTCCAGGACTCAAGTCCAGCTAACTGATTTCCCCAATTATCTTTATAAATGTTACCTTACTCATATTCCAATAGCATGTCCATTAGAAACCACTTGTATCCATTCACTCCTTCCTAACATGCTCACACAAATCTTCTGAATGTTCAAGCCCCCAAAACTCAAAGCCTCCTTTACCCCCCTCCCTCCAACCCTTCTTGGGACAACCCTTACTTTTTCTACCTTCCACCCCTGACTTGTACACTCTCTTCATCATCCTATCCTCCTCCATCCTTTCTACAAGCCTAAACCACCTCAACAACCCCTCCTCAACCCTTTGAATTATACCTTGGTGAATGCACACCACCTTTTAATTTTTACACTCAATTCTCTGCATGATATTCAAACCACACACTGCTCTCAAACATAACATCTCCACTGCTTTTAGCTTTCTTGTAATAACATTTAAAACCTATCCCTCACCCATATAAAGTGTTAGTACTACTATATTCTGATACGTTTCCTTTCTTTCCTCCCTAAATAAACCTTCTATAGATGCCTCAACACCACCCACTTTCTCCTTCCTCTATTTTAGGGTTCACTTTGTCTTTCATTTATCCATCTGCTGACATGTTCCTCTATACTCTCTGTCTCCAAGCAGACATTCAATCTACCACTGCTTAGAGTTTTTGGTACTCTGACTTTTTTGGGTTATCGTAGGTTCTCTACACATATGCTGTTATGTATGATAATCTATGTAATTGTATTTGTGTATACCCGAGTAAACTTAATCATCATCTTGCTCTTTTCTATGTTCACTTTTAATAGCTCTTGTTCTTTTTTATTTCTTCTATTGTCCATGGGGAAGTGGAAAAGAATCTTTCCTCCGTAAGCCATGCGTGTCGTATGAGGCGACTAAAATGCCGGGAGCAATGGGCTAGTAACCCCTTCTCCTGTATACATTTACTAAAAAAAGAGAAAAAGAAAAACTTTATAAAACTGGGTTGCTTAAATGTGCGTGGATGTAGTGCGGATGACAAGAAACAGATGATTGCTGATGTTATGAATGAAAAGAAGTTGGATGTCCTGGCCCTAAGCGAAACAAAGCTGAAGGGGGTAGGAGAGTTTCAGTGGGGGGAAATAAATGGGATTAAATCTGGAGTATCTGAGAGAGTTAGAGCAAAGGAAGGGGTAGCAGTAATGTTAAATGATCAGTTATGGAAGGAGAAAAGAGAATATGAATGTGTAAATTCAAGAATTATGTGGATTAAAGTAAAGGCTGGATGCGAGAAGTGGGTCATAATAAGCGTGTATGCACCGGGAGAAGAGAGGAATGCAGAGGAGAGAGAGAGATTTTGGGAGATGTTAAGTGAATGTATAGGAGCCTTTGAACCAAGTGAGAGAGTAATTGTGGTAGGGGACCTGAATGCTAAAGTAGGAGAAACTTTTAGAGAGGGTGTGGTAGGTAAGTTTGGGGTGCCAGGTGTAAATGATAATGGGAGCCCTTTGATTGAACTTTGTATAGAAAGGGGTTTAGTTATAGGTAATACATATTTTAAGAAAAAGAGGATAAATAAGTATACACGATATGATGTAGGGCGAAATGACAGTAGTTTGTTGGATTATGTATTGGTAGATAAAAGACTGTTGAGTAGACTTCAGGATGTACATGTTTATAGAGGGGCCACAGATATATCAGATCACTTTCTAGTTGTAGCTACACTGAGAGTAAAAGGTAGATGGGATACAAGGAGAATAGAAGCATCAGGGAAGAGAGAGGTGAAGGTTTATAAACTAAAAGAGGAGGCAGTTAGGGTAAGATATAAACAGCTATTGGAGGATAGATGGGCTAATGAGAGCATAGGCAATGGGGTCGAAGAGGTATGGGGTAGGTTTAAAAATGTAGTGTTAGAGTGTTCAGCAGAAGTTTGTGGTTACAGGAAAGTGGGTGCAGGAGGGAAGAGGAGCGATTGGTGGAATGATGATGTAAAGAGAGTAGTAAGGGAGAAAAAGTTAGCATATGAGAAGTTTTTACAAAGTAGAAGTGATGCAAGGAGGGAAGAGTATATGGAGAAAAAGAGAGAAGTTAAGAGAGTGGTGAAGCAATGTAAAAAGAGAGCAAATGAGAGAGTGGGTGAGATGTTATCAACAAATTTTGTTGAAAATAAGAAAAAGTTTTGGAGTGAGATTAACAAGTTAAGAAAGCCTAGAGAACAAATGGATTTGTCAGTTAAAAATAGGAGAGGAGAGTTATTAAATGGAGAGTTAGAGGTATTGGGAAGATGGAGGGAATATTTTGAGGAATTGTTAAATGTTGATGAAGATAGGGAAGCTGTGATTTCGTGTATAGGGCAAGGAGGAATAACATCTTGTAGGAGTGAGGAAGAGCCAGTTGTGAGTGTGGGGGAAGTTCGTGAGGCAGTAGGTAAAATGAAAGGGGGTAAGGCAGCCGGGATTGATGGGATAAAGATAGAAATGTTAAAAGCAGGTGGGGATATAGTTTTGGAGTGGTTGGTGCAATTATTTAATAAATGTATGGAAGAGGGTAAGGTACCTAGGGATTGGCAGAGAGCATGCATAGTTCCTTTGTATAAAGGCAAAGGGGATAAAAGAGAGTGCAAAAATTATAGGGGGATAAGTCTGTTGAGTGTACCTGGTAAAGTGTATGGTAGAGTTATAATTGAAAGAATTAAGAGTAAGACGGAGAATAGGATAGCAGATGAACAAGGAGGCTTTAGGAAAGGTAGGGGGTGTGTGGACCAGGTGTTTACAGTGAAACATATAAGTGAACAGTATTTAGATAAGGCTAAAGAGGTCTTTGTGGCATTTATGGATTTGGAAAAGGCGTATGACAGGGTGGATAGGGGGGCAATGTGGCAGATGTTGCAAGTGTATGGTGTAGGAGGTAGGTTACTGAAAGCAGTGAAGAGTTTTTACGAGGATAATGAGGCTCAAGTTAGAGTATGTAGGAAAGAGGGAAATTTTTTCCCAGTAAAAGTAGGCCTTAGACAAGGATGTGTGATGTCACCGTGGTTGTTTAATATATTTATAGATGGGTTGTAAGAGAAGTAAATGCGAGGGTCTTGGCAAGAGGCGTGGAGTTAAAAGATAAAGAATCACACACAAAGTGGGAGTTGTCACAGCTGCTCTTTGCTGATGACACTGTGCTCTTGGGAGATTCTGAAGAGAAGTTGCAGAGATTGGTGGATGAATTTGGTAGGGTGTGCAAAAGAAGAAAATTAAAGGTGAATACAGGAAAGAGTAAGGTTATGAGGATAACAAAAAGATTAGGTGATGAAAGATTGAATATCAGATTGGAGGGAGAGAGTATGGAGGAGGTGAACGTATTCAGATATTTGGGAGTGGACGTGTCAGCGGATGGGTCTATGAAAGATGAGGTGAATCATAGAATTGATGAGGGAAAAAGAGTGAGTGGTGCACTTAGGAGTCTGTGGAGACAAAGAACTTTATCCATGGAGGCAAAGAGGGGAATGTATGAGAGTATAGTTTTACCAACGCTCTTATATGGGTGTGAAGCGTGGGTGATGAATGTTGCAGCGAGGAGAAGGCTGGAGGCAGTGGAGATGTCATGTCTGAGGGCAATGTGTGGTGTGAATATAATGCAGAGAATTCGTAGTTTGGAAGTTAGGAGGAGGTGCGGGATTACCAAAACTGTTGTCCAGAGGGCTGAGGAAGGGTTGTTGAGGTGGTTCGGACATGTAGAGAGAATGGAGCGAAACAGAATGACTTCAAGAGTGTATCAGTCTGTAGTGGAAGGAAGGTGGGGTAGGGGTCGGCCTAGGAAGGGTTGGAGGGAGGGGGTAAAGGAGGTTTTGTGTGCGAGGGGCTTGGACTTCCAGCAGGCATGCGTGAGCGTGTTTGATAGGAGTGAATGGAGACAAATGGTTTTTAATACTTGACGTGCTGTTGGAGTGTGAGCAAAGTAACATTTATGAAGGGATTCAGGGAAACCGGCAGGCCGGACTTGAGTCCTGGAGATGGGAAGTACAGTGCCTGCACTCTGAAGGAGGGGTGTTAATGTTGCAGTTTAAAAACTGTAGTGTAAAGCATCCTTCTGGCAAGACAGTGATGGAGTGAATGATGGTGAAAGTTTTTCTTTTTCGGGCCACCCTGCCTTGGTGGGAATCGGCCAGTGTGATAATAAAATAAAAAAAAAAAAAACTTTTAATACCTTTCTTGTAAATACCCTCCCAAATTTGCCTACCAACTTTGCAACTTACCTTTAGAATCCCCCCAAAAATTGTCATCAGCAAAGAGCAACCATGATAGTTCCAACTTTGTAAAAGATCCTACATCTTTTAATCCCACATCTCTTCCTGACACCCTAACATTCATACAACAAGCAAATTATACATTATTTTTTTTTTTTAACACATCGGCCATCTCCCACTGAGGCAGGGTGACCCCAAAAAAATAGAAAGCAACACTTTCACCATCATTCACACACAATCGCAGAGGCTCTCAGATATGAGAGGTCAGATGGCACTCCAAACAGCAAATATCCCAAACCCCTCCTTTAAGTTATATATATTCAAGTTTTACTCATACATTGCATTATATTTCAGGGTAGCATTCATAGCACTGTTATATGGTAAGCAGAAGATAACCCTACCTTAGTAACTTTCTTGCCAGTCTTGTTAGCAGTGCCAGTGACGTATGCATGGAACACGTCCCACACATCTTGTTCACACTCTAGAGATTCTCCCCACATAGTCAACAGCTGCTCCTTGGAACTTTTACTCTGCAAACCATAAATATTTTAGTATTTATTATGCCAATAACTACTATATTTATGTTTCATTGTATACATGTGGTGTTTCCTGCCTAAGAGGCAGGAAATTATAAACAAGCTTAGAAGTTATGTAAAATGAGTTTAGACTGTAGGTAAATACTGCACTTTTGTCTTACCAAGAATCAATAGCTTTGACACACATGAAAAATGTTAATTTCACTTGCAAAAATTCAATGAAAATTAGCCTGGACATCACAAAATTAATATAATTGAGCACCTCTTCATTATGTTAGATTTTGCATGGGTATGTGAGGTTCTAAAGTTATTTTGGGTGGTACGTTACAGCATCTGTGGAAAGAAAGGAGTCTATCTACAGAGGCAAAAAGTAAAATGCACCATAGTACAGCAGTAAGTAAGTAAGTAACTAAGTTTATTCAGGTATACACAAATACAGTTATATAGAATTATCATACATAGCAGCATATGTGTAGAGAACCTAGGATAACCCAAAAAAGTCAGACAGAGTGACTTATTTCCATTGGTACTAGCACTTTTATGTGGGTGTGAGGAATGGGGAATTAGGGCTATATCCATTCTCAGGTGAAACATCAACAAATGGAGTGCCTCCCCATGTATATAATAAACAAGTGTGAACAAAGTCAAATTTATGAAGGGATTATGGGAATCTAGGTAGTCAAACAAGAGTAATGGAGGTGGGAAGTGCAGTTCCTGCACTCTGAAGGAGAGGTGGGGATGTTACATATTTCTGACAAGATAGCTATGAGTGAATGTGTTTCCTCTTGGTCACCCTAATATAAAAAAATGACAATAGGAGTTTAAACTATTATTTTTTGTAAGCCTTATACCTATTTCAATGAAAAAATAAGATTATTTCATGTGAATTTTCCTTACAATAACTTCTTTTTTTTTTTTTAACAAGTCAGCCATCTCCCACCGAGGCAGGGTGACCCAAAAAGAAAGAAAATCCCCAAAAAGAAAATTACAATAACTATATTTTTTTTATTATCACACTGGCCGATTCCCACCAAGGCAGGGTGGCCCGAAAAAGAAAAACTTTCACCATCATTCACTCCATCACTGTCTTGCCAGAAGGGTGCTTTACACTACAGTTTTTAAACTGCAACATTAACACCCCTCCTTCAGAGTGCAGGCACTGTACTTCCCATCTCCAGGACTCAAGTCCGGCCTGCCGGTTTCCCTGAACCCCTTCATAAATGTTACCCTGCTCACACTCCAACAGCACATCAAGTATTAAAAACCATTTGTCTCCATTCACTCCTATCAAACACGCTCACGCATGCCTGCTGGAAGTCCAAGCCCCTCACAAACAAAACCTCCTTTACCCCCTCCCTCCAACCTTTCCTAGGCCGACCCCTACCCCGCCTTCCTTCCACTACAGACTGATACACTCTTGAAGTCACTCTGTTTCGCTCCATTCTCTCTACATGTCCGAACCACCTCAACAACCCTTCCTCAGCCCTCTGGACAACAGTTTTGGTAATCCCGCACCTCCTCCTAACTTCCAAACTATGAATTCTCTGCATTATATTCACACCACACATTGCCCTCAGGCATGACATCTCCACTGCCTCCAGCCTTCTCCTCGCTGAAACATTCATCACCCATGCTTCACACCCATATAAGAGCGTTGGTAAAACTATACTCTCATACATTCCCCTCTTTGCCTCCAAGGACAAAGTTCTTTGTCTCCACAGACTCCTAAGTGCACCGCTCACCCTTTTCCCCTCATCAATTCTATGATTCACCTCATCTTTCATAGACCCATCCGCTGACACGTCCACTCCCAAATATCTGAATACTTTCACCTCCTCCATACTCTCTCCCTCCAATCTGATATCCAATCTTTCATCACCTAATGATAATCTTTTTGTTATCCTCATAACCTTACTCTTTCCTGTATTCACTTTTAATTTTCTTCTTTTACATACCCTACCAAATAACTATAATATACAAATACTTATTACCCTCTTTTTCCCTGAAAAAAAAAAAACCCTGATTACCTCTTAGACAGTGTATAATCCTTGTAGGTTTAGTGCTTCCCCATGAATATATTATAAAAATATTCACTTACTGTAAGGTAAAAGAGATAGTAATCTTTCAGTTCTCCAAAAGCAGGAGACTCGGAACTGCCCCATCTTCCATTAGGAAATTCATCCCAATGTTGTGTTCTGTTAAGAAAATTAATATTAATTAATATTATCTAAAAATTTATAAATTGTTAAAACAAGATACTAGTTGCGGTGGAATCCTTTATTGGTACAACTTGTCGTGATTTTTTTTTTTTCAAGTAGTATTGTATATGTGAAAAACAGCTCAAATAATACAGAGTGTATTGAGGCCATTTTTTAACTGAGGTACTGCAAGCAACCTACCAGCCCATGTTAGGGCCACAGCCAACACAGTATTCTCATGCAACAGTAATCCAGCAAAGATGTTGCAATGATCGCTACAAATATCGTACATGACTGTACGAGGGCCTTTAAGTCACACAGCAGACCTAAGGATGCAGGAGTTTATAGTATTCCCTGAGAAGGATACAACAGTCTGCATTAGTGAAATAGCTTGAAGCTTACCTATTTCTCTACAGGATCACAAATATGCCTGAGGAATGGATAATACCAGTAATGCATGCTTGCATCACTGTAACTCATATTCTTGCTTAATGGCGTAAAATAGGTCCAGACTACAACAATGATCAGATTATTAACCCAAAGGACTAGTAACCCAAGATAGCTCAATGAAGTCATGTCATCGAACTGTCAGTTTTTTCCACTGGATTCCATAAATCCTCTTCCCCAGGATGTAACCCACACACCAGTCAGCTAACACTCAAGTACCTACTATTTACTACTAGGTGAACAGGGGCAGCAAGAATAAAGAAGAATGACCAAGTTATAAATAATAAAAGTAATAAAAGCTTACAGACACCATAAAACAAAACAGTGGCACGTTTCCTTTAGCAACCCTTATAATGCATATTGTTTTAGAATAAAGAAAAACTAATATGGGCAAGTAGGCTGGCTTGGTAGGCAACACACTCACCTCACACACTAAGTGCCCGTGGTTCAATTCCTTTCTGGGTGAAAATGTTGGGCATATTTCCTTACACCCATTATCTCTATTCACCTAGCAGTAAGTAGATACCTGGGTGTTAATTAATCAACTGTTGTGAGGGCATAAGACAGATGGTCCTCGATGACACACTGACTTTCTTTGGTTATTCTGGATGGCTAACCCTCTGGGTTAAGAATCCAAACAAATCTTATCTTGTTTTACACCTGAGCTTTGTACAATTTAAGCTGTTTGTGTTTTGTATCTTTTATTTTCACCTCAAGGTCCATGGGTGCAACACTGCATCAATAAAGGACTCCACTGTAACTGGTGTCCTTTATTTACCATTTGTCAGCATCCTGCCCCTAACTTCCAAAATTTGTGTTGCAATTAGCTTCCAGTAATTTTCAGGAAAACAAACCTTTTATATAACTACAGTCAAAATAATTTTAATCTTTCTAGGTAACGTATCTGACTGGTGATTGGCAGATAGAGGATCGAGCCTCTACCACTTCTTGTACTAAATAACTTACGTAAGTTTAAATCTTCATGAAAGCCAATAAAAAACAATCTTCTTTTCAAGAAACCGGCTGTATCCCACCAAGGCAGGATGGCCCAAAAGAAAAAACTAAAGTTTCTCATTTTAAATTTAGTAATATATACAGGAGAAGGGGTTACTAGCCCCTTGCTCCTTATTATTATTTACTATTATTATTATTTATTTATTATTTTTATGTATTACTAATAATAATAATTATAATACAGCCTCTCCTCAGTTAGCGACGTACTCATTTACCAATGCCTCGGACTTATGACGAGCTCTCTGAGCAGTATGCATACATAAATAATGTATATTAGAGCTGATTTCCTCTGTTCTGTTTATTACAATATACAGTACACTACTGTATAAACATTTAAGAATATACCAGAAATGTTATAAATGGTGCAAAGGTGACATTAAAACAATATCAAAGATGGGGGACGCAAACCCACTACCATTATAGTATGCATCTTAGCGACGAATTCATTTACAGACGTGGTCTTAGGAATGGAACTGCATCATTAAGTGAGAGGCTGTAATAATAATATTCTGTATTAGACTTGCTGTCTGAACATTTAAGGTATTCAGTACAATGGTGAGATATATACTATACTGGAATTTTTTGTGGTAAATCTGTAATCTAGAAATATCACATGCAAAATAAAACAATTCATCTAACCTGTAGACATATGCTTTTGGTCTGGAAGCCCAGAAAATGGGACGAACATCCTCTCCACTTCTTTTATGATTAGCAGCCATTTTCCAGGGCAGAGGTCTTCTAGGTGCTGCAGCCCAGAGTCCCAGCTGCTTCAGGATAGCTGTAGTTGCTACCTCTCTAAACGTGGGATAATGTAACAGTTTTAGAAATCAGTAAAATTTTTTGTAATGTGAAGTCCAGTTAGTCACACTTAAGTCCTGGAGGTGGGAAGTGCAGTGCCTGCACTCTACAGTAGGGGTCAGAATGTTGCAGTCCTGGAGGTAGGAAGTATAATGTCTTCATTCTAGAGGAAGGGTGAGGATGTTGCAGTCCTAGAGGTGGGAAATACAGTACCTGCACTGTACAGCAGCAGTATGGATGTTTTACACACACATGCATACATGCACACATAATAAAGCTCATGGAGCAGGGAGAGAGAGGACCTAGTAGCAATCAGGCAGGGCCAGGAGCTATGTCTTGACCCCTGCAACCACAAATAGGCAAGTACAAATAGGTGAGTACATATGTATCAGGGGTGAGAGGGGTAACATTTATGAAGGGGAACACAGTTACAAAGGGTAAGACTGCACCAAATAAAATATGTCAGAAGTTAGAAATTAATGTCACTGTTTGTTAATGTAAACTTTAAGACTAAATGGTGAGGATGATTAACTTGCTACATTTTCATGATTTTTATTATTTTTTTTATTATCACACTGGCCGATTCCCACCAAGGCAGGGTGGCCCGAAAAAGAAAAACTTTCACCATCATTCACTCCATCACTGTCTTGCCAGAAGGGTGCTTTACACTACAGTTTTTAAACTGCAACATTAATAAACATGATATAAACATGAAAAATTTGTAAATAGGAATCTACATATCCAGTTTTGGTACTTACAATACACAAGTTGATATACCTGTTCAAGGTGTAAAAGTGAACACCAGGAGCCATTTCTGCATCAAACAACTCTTTAATAAGCATACATGTTTGATGAATTCCATAATTTCTTATTGCTTCATCATTGTCCTTCAGAGGAGCCACAAAATCCATGATATCCTGAGGAACATCAAGTTTGGAGAGTTTGACAATGTGTCGTAGAGAGTCGTAACTCTGGATGGGCATGATGCCAGGAATTATAGGGCAGTTTATGCCAACTGCTTTACAGTCTCTGACAAATTTGATGAATGTCTGTGCCTTGAAGAACAGCTGTGTGATGATAAAGTTAGCACCTGCATCTACCTGCAACAATTAATTTATATAAATTCAGCAAAGTACCATAAGTAAAGTCAAATTTATTCTCCTTGAAACATAGTATTACATTATATATTAGTGCTTAGTTATCATTATAATAATATTATATACAGCCTCTCCACACTTAATGACGGAGTTCCGTTCCTGAGACTACATCGTTAGACGAATTCGTCGCTAAGTGAGGAGCTTACTATAATGGTGGTAAGTGTGGCAACCATCTTTGATATTGTTTTAATGTCACCTCTGCACCATTTATAACATTTCTGGTATATTTTTAAATGTTTATACAGTAGTGTACTGTATACTGAAATAAACAGAACAGAGGAACTCAGCTCTAATATACATTATATAGGTATGAATACTGGTCAGAGAGCCCATCGTAAGTTTGAGGCGTCAGTAAACGAGTACGTCGCTAAGTGAGGAGAGGCTGTATTAGTGCTTAATGATTATAATAATAAAAATAAGAAGAATATATTATATTCTAGTTTATCATACAGTTTGTCAGAGTATAATTTGATCAGACTTAAGATTAAACATTTTTTTTTTTTCAACACTTTCACCATCACTCATACATAATCACTGTCTGTGCAGAGGTGCTCAGATATAACAGCTTAGATGTCCCTCCAAACTGCCAAAATCCCAAACCCCTCCTTTACAGTGCAGGCATTGTACTTCCCACTTCCGGGACTCAAGTCCAACTAACCAGTTTCCCTGAGTCCCTTCACAAAATATTACCCTGCTCACATTCCAACAGTTCATCAGGTCCCAAAAACCATTTGTCTCCATTCATTCCTATCTAACACATACATGCCATAAAAAAGCTTGTATTCAATTAGGTGAATTACATAAATGCTTAGAATAATTTAAATAGGTTATACAGTAGTCCCCCAAATTTGAAGGGATTATGTCCCAAGACCACCCACAAATTTAGAAAACCATGAATTCTGGACGCAGTTAAAAAAATGACTATTTTTATAGTTTAAACCCTAAATATGCCCCGAAAACACTTTAATTAAATTTCAAACTCAGCGTCATACATCAATTATCTCATTAAGTATTGCCCCCATGACATTCTAACATCTGGAAATCAGCCCTGAATGATAAATGAGGTATGTCTATATACAATAATCTTCTTTAGTAATGTATACAGGAGAAGGGGTTACTAGCCCCTTGCTCCCGGCATTTTAGTCACCTCTTATGACACGCATGGCTTACAGAGGAATATTCTGTTTCACTTCCCCATGGAGAATGTACATTAATAATGTATATAAAATATAATGAATTGGAGGACTGTTATATGTAATAAGAGTGGAGAACATGTGAGGAAATTTGTACAAGATAGGCGACTTTTACAGTATTAATAAAATGAGGTTTATGCTATATTATAACAGATAAGTGATCAATCTGAAGTAAAAATCAGCTTTAAACGAAAAAATATTAAACTGTTTCAGTAAATTCTTATCTACTGCAAACCCACTAAAGAAAAAGATTTTAGAATTTTTTTACTGCTCACACATCCATTCCTCAGTAAGAGAAATAAGTAATGCCAACCTTCTCCTTGAGATACTTTATATCATCTTCGTAAGACGTGGCTTCAGGATGACCCATGGGGTAGGCAGCAACGCAGATTACAAAATAATCACCGAACTCCTTTCTGATGTGCCTGACTAGATCTGATGCATAATTAAACCCATCCTCAGGTGGGACCCAATCCTCAGCACCATGTGGAGGATCTGAAAAAGTAAAATACTGTACAGTACACGACTTTCTCTACTTTATTATCACATCAGCCATTTCCCCATCAAAATAGGATGGACCCAAGAAAAGATATTCATTCAGTAACTGTGACACCTCATTCTAATGGACTAATAGGGAGGAGTGTTTGCTAAAGCTAAATGTCTATTAAATCTAAATTATGAGAATATTTTTCCACTATAGTGCCAGAAATGGACAATATGCAGATTAAATGAACTAAGGCCATTATGTATATTCAAAAATAAATTTACCCAGTGGACTGCAACATTAATGGATAATTCTGGCTTTAACAGTCTATTAAATTTAGAATTGTCTGCAAAAACTATGGATTATTCTGACTTGACAAAGACCACTAAATATGAAATTTATTTGCCCTGTGGACCATAACAATAATAGACAATCCCGAATTTAACAGACTGTCTGTTGCTTCCAAATGTTGTCCAGCCACAGATTTTGTTTGTTTTATCCCAAATCCCCTATACCGAGGTTTTGCTGTAGTGTGTGATATCCTAGTTCAAATAACCCTCTGAATTACACCACTTTTGCTGCTAGTTTATCCCTGAATTTTTTTTTTTTTTTTTTTAACAAGTCGGCCGTCTCCCACCGAGGCAGGGTGACCCAAAAAAGAAAGAAAATCCCCAAAAAGAAAATACTTTCATCATCATTCAACTCTTTCACCTCACTCGCACATAATCACTGTTTTTGCAGAGGTGCTCAGAACACAACAGCTTAGAAGCAAATACGTATAAAGATACACAACATATCCCTCCAAACTGTCAATATCCCGAACCCCTCCTTTAGAGTGCAAGCATTGTACTTCCCATTTCCAGGACTCAAGTCCAGCTATATAAAAATAACTGGTTTCCCTGAATCCCTTCACTAAATATTACCCTGCTCACACTCCAACGGATCGTCAGGTCCCAAATACCATTCGTCTCCATTCACTCCTATCAAACACGCTCACGCACGCCTGCTGGAAGTCCAAGCCTCCCTTACCCCTTCCTTCCAACCTTTTCGAGGACGACTCCTACCCCGCCTTCCTTCCCCTACAGATTTAAATGCTCTCCATGTCATTCTATTTGATCCATTCTCACTAAATGACCAAACCACCTCAACAAACCCTCTTCAGCCCTCTGACTAATACTTTTATTAACTCCACACCTTCTCCTAATTTCCACACTCCGAATTTTCTGCATAATATTTACATCACACATTGCCCATCAAAAGCTATGGCTAGAAAATTTAAGATAAAAAGAGATGCTGTAGAGGAAATTGAAACAAATACTGTACTATTTAGTATCTGTGCACATCTGTGTAATCACTGTTTGTGTCACTGTGGAAGACATCATTGACACTGAAAGTTATGAGTTGGGACTCAACCCCTATGAAATGCTGCACAAACTCTAGATTTTCAAGTTTTTTTAAACACTGGCCATCTTCCATTGAGGAAGGATGACAGAAAAAAAAAAACACATTCACAATCATTCACTCAACAGCAGTCTTGCCAGAAGTACAAAGACATCATAATTCAAATGATCCTCTGAATCATAACATTCCCACCCCTTCTTCAGCACAGAGACTGTGCTAATCACTTGCAGGACTCAAGTTCAGCTAACCAGTTTCCCTAAATCCCTTCATATTACCTTCCTCACACAAGCCTCTTGGATGCACAAGGCCCTGGCACTCAAAAATCTCCATCTCCTTCCTTCAACCATTCCTGGGATGACCACCACCTCCATCCTCCCACTCTTGATATATACACCCTCTTAACAGTTTCATATACAGTGGCAAATTAAATACGATCAATAACCATTAAAATCAACGTCTCCACACCATAGTCTGAAGCAAAGTACATAAAATAAAGTTAACTAATAGATCTGCTGTAAATTTATATCTTAAGTCTGAGGTTCATGGACCCAGCATCATCCAACAACAAATTTAAGAATATGATGATCACTTTTAAATTAATGTTGTATTAGGATTTCCCTGGCGAAATAATAAATACCGTATTTCAAAAGTTCACAAAAGAAGATGTGTACTGGTTTGAGTGAATGGTGTTGCAAACAATGACCAGTTGCTATCAATAAAGAGACAACTTACCCCCTCTCAGAGCTAAGATGTTGCGGATTCCAATGTCTTTAGCTCGCTTCAAGTGTTTAGTGATCTCCGTCTTGGTCATACTACAACAGGTCATATGTAGCATTGTCTCCAGACCACAGTAGTTCAGTGCAGCACCTGGATACAAGTGACACATCTTAAACAAAAATTTTCATGTAACAGCACAGTAATACAATACAATAAGTCAAATAATTCTCTTTACATGACTTTACTTTAACAAGCACAAGTATGAATGATGGTGAAAGTGTTTCTTTTTCAGGTCACCCTGCCTCAGTGGTAGACAGCCAGCATATTAGACAAAAAGTACTAGGAAATAATTTTTTTATTAACACACTGGCCGATTCCCACCAAGGTAGGGTGGCCCGAAAAAGAAAAACTTTCACCATCATTCACTCCATCACTGTCTTGCCAGAAGGGTGCTTTACACTACAGTTTTTAAACTGCAACATTAACACCCCTCCTTCAGAGTGCAGGCACTGTACTTCCCATCTCCAGGACTCAAGTCCGGCCTGCCGGTTTCCCTGAATCCCTTCATAAATGTTACTTTGCTCACACTCCAACAGCACGTCAAGTACAGTATTAAAAACCATTTGTCTCCATTCACTCCTATCAAACACGCTCATGCATGCCTGCTGGAAGTCCAAGCCCCTCGCACACAAAATCTCCTTTACTCCCTCCCTCCAACCTTTCCTAGGCCGACCCCTACCCCGCCTTCCTTCCACTACAGACTGATACACTCTTGAAGTCATTCTGTTTCGCTCCATTCTCTCTACATGTCCGAACCACCTCAATAACCCTTCCTCAGCCCTCTGAACAACAGTTTTGGCAATGCCGCACCTCCTCCTAACTTCCAAACTACGAATTCTCTGCATTACATTCACACCACACATTGCCCTCAGACATGACAACTCCACTGCCTCCAGCCTTCTCCTCGCTGCATCATTCATCACGCATGCTTCACACCCATATAAGAGAGTTGGTAAAACTATACTCTCATACATTCCCCTCTTTGCCTCCAAGGACAAAGTTCTTTGTCTCCACAGACTCCTAAGTGCACCGCTCACCCTTTTCCCCTCATCAATTCTATGATTCACCTCATCTTTCATAGACCCATCCGCTGACACGTCCACTCCCAAATATCTGAATACATTCACCTCCTCCATACTCTCTCCCTCCAATCTGATATCCAATCTTTCATCACCTAATCTTTTTGTTATCCTCATAACCTTACTCTTTCCTGTATTCACTTTTAATTTTCTTCTTTTGCATACCCTACCAAATTCATCCACCAACCTCTGCAACTTCTCTTCAGAATCTCCCAAGAGCACAGTGTCATCAGCAAAGAGGAACTGTGACAACTCCCACTTTATGTATGATTCTTTATCTTTTAACTCCACGCCTCTTGCCAAGACCCTCGCATTTACTTCTCTTACAACCCCATCTATAAATATGTTAAACAACCACGGTGACATCACACATCCTTGTCTAAGGCCTACTTTTACGGGGAAATAATCTCCCTCTTTCCTACATACTCTAACTTGAGCCTCACTATCTTTGTAAAAAGTCTTCACTGCTTTCAGTAACCTACCTCCTACACCATACACCTGCAACATCTACTAGGAAATAAATTATCTACAATTAACTCAGCAAGCATAAGTGATACATTCATCTCTTGGCTTCCTAAGAGTGGTATGCAACTCTGGGTTCAGTCTTTGCACTAGTCTTGTCATTCTAGGTTTGTAGACTCACTAACGATATAACATTCCTCAACTGTTTTCATACAACTTGTCAGTATTTTTCAATTTGTTTTTTAGAATATAAATGAATCTTTAGTACAATAAAGTACTGTAATGGTTGGAATGAATCTAATGGTTTCTCAAAGAGGAAACATACTCACTGTTATTCATTCAATCACTGTCTTTCCAGAAGTGTGCTGATATCACAGCTCAGATGACCTTCTGAACTTCAACATCCTCAATTTAAGACAACTTGTACAACACAAAATTTGCAAACACTGACAACAAGCTTATGAAGGGTGACAAAGGTTGCCATACCTGCTATGGTCAAAGAAGAAGTTTCTGTGTCTCCGCCAGGATTGCCAGCCGGGTGCCATGTGACATCACAGAAAAGTGGACCACCTTCACGCATGCGATCAAACCTTATTTAAATTAGACATTAACAAGTTAGGTAAACTTATTTTTCATCCATTTTTAAACAATAAATGCAATCAAACCTTATTTAAATTAGACTTGGTAGTACTACAGGGCAGATCAAGATGTTAAATTTTCCCTTTCCAAATTTCAACATAGATTAAAAACGTTCCACCATGGTATTATGAGTTAGTCTTCATGCCTAAGTACAGTGTGAGGTCATACTTGTATTACTTACTATGTTTAAGAAAACTCCCTGGTATTAAGAGCTAAATATATATTTCTTCAACTTTTTCAACATACCAGCCGTATCCCACCGAGGCGGGGTGGCCCAAAAGAAAAAACTAAAGTTTCTCTTTTTAAATTTAGTAATATATACAGGAGAAGGGATTACTAGCCCCTTGCTCCCGGCATTTTAGTCGCCTCTTACAACACGCATGGCTTACGGAGGAAGAATTCTGTTCCACTTCCCCATGGAGGTAAGAGGAAATAAACAAGAACAAGAACTAGAAAGAAAATAGAAGAAAACCCAGAGGGGTGTGTGTGTATATATATATGCTTGTACATGTATGTGTAGTGTGACCTAAATGCAAGTAGAAGTAGCAAGACATACCTGAAATCTTGCATGTTTATGAGACAGACAAAAGACACCAGCAATCCTACCATCATGTAAAACAATTACAGGCTTTCGTTGTACACTCACTTGGCAGGACGGTAGTACCTCCCTGGGTGGTTGCTGTTTACCAACCTACTACCTAATATATATGTATACGTATATATACCTTGATTGCACTGCAACTGAGATATACTGTATATATTATATAACCTAACGTAATATTACCCCAGTCTAGCCTGTCTCCACTGCACAACTTGATAAAAAATAAAAGAATTTACATACTGGTAGTAAATGATACTCTATTTTGCCTATTATCACCTAAATAAACACTGCACAACAAATAACTTTTTCCCATGGAAAAGATAACATGGTTGTTAAGTTTTAATATAAATATTAACAGATTTCTGTCCCAGGAAAGAGAACATAATGATCTTTTATTTAACCCGTAAACGGTCCAAACGTATATGTACATTTTTTCAACATTTGAAAGTACGTAAAAAAAGTAGATCTTCTTTTTGTTTTTTTACATTTGAAAATGTGTAAAAAAACTTTGAACTACTTTTTTTTGTTATATTTGAAAATATGTAAAAAAAACGTAGATCTACTTTTGTAGCACTACACATGTGAACATAGATCTGCTTGGACCGTTTACGGGTTAATAAAAGTATCTCTCACCTGGCCAGCAAGTTGACAGCACCACCTTTTGTTCTTGGAGGGAAGAATTCAAGTGAAAAGAACTTGTCATTTGACTCAATGCGACTCTGAATCTTCTCGCTAAGGCTGTGATATCCTGTGAGATATTCTGGCATGTTATAAAGATGGGCATCATCATCTGCGTGAGAATGATCTGAAAAAAAAAATTAAAACAGTTGCAATCAAAATTTTAAAAAAATCTCTGATGACCACATAATGTTTCTCTAGATGCAGGAGGTTCCTGTGTACAAATAACTTAAGTCATATATGGAAATAAGTCACTTCGACTTTTGGGTTATCCCACGTAATTTATACACGTTAAACTATGACTGATAACTGGACTTATATGCATGTGCCTCCACCTAAATAAACTAACTTCCTTACTTTACTTTATTTTACTTTACTCTCTTCCAAACAAATAAATTTTAACAACTGGTTACTCAGTACAAATATGTTGAACATAGTCATCCTTAAACAGTACTATTATCTTCTGTATAATGTCATTCCTCAATATTACAGACTAATAGGGAGAAGGCTGAAAATGGCAATTTTCATGGATAAAGAGATTGTTTTGCTGTGATAATAACAATATTGGACAATTCAAAATCCAATACACTTTGTCCATTGCTCACAAACCAATTGACTCAGTGGATTTTGTTCTGAAGTTCTTTACAGAAAGGTCCATTATTTCGAGGGTATAACAACTTGCTTGCAAAACATCAAACATACAATTTATGAGGAACCAACTGTATTCTATTTATTATAATAAAGAAACTTACAACGAAATTTCCGTCCAACTTGGACCGAAGTCGAGCCAAAACATCGTCAGAAGTTTCTTTCACCTATGCGCAGGTTATTTGTGTATTGCTCCAGCCATGGTACTGTGTCATTTTATACCTTACTTGAAACATTTTATACACAGTAATACAGCCTTTCCTCAATGATGTACTTGTTTACCGACAACTCAGACTTACGACAGTCTCTCTGACCAGTATGCATACCTAAATAATGTATATTAGAGCTGATTTCCTCTATTCATTTTATTACAATATACAGCACACTACTGTGTAAACATTTAAAAATACAGTGGACCCCTGGTATACGATATTAATCCGTTCCTGAGAGCTCATCGTATGCCAAAATTATCGAAGGCGAATTAATTTTCCCCATAAGAAATAATGGAAATCAAATTAATCCGTGCAAGACACCCAAAAGTACTATGAAAAAAAAAGTTTTACCACATGAAATATTAAGTTTAATGCACACAAACTGAAGAAGACATGCACAGTTAGTAGTACTCTACTAACAATAGAATACATGACACTTACCTTTAATGAAGATCTGGTGATGATTGATGGGATGGGAGGAGGGGAGAGTTTCGAAGTTGTTAATATTTAGGACTTGAGGTAGCAAGTCCTTTTCCGGGGTTACTTCCCTTCTTCTTTTAATGCCACTAGGACCAGCTTGAGAGTCACTGGACCTCTGTCGCACAACAAATCTGTCCATAGAGCTCTGTACCTCCCGTCCCTTTAAGATTTGTCTAAAATGGGCCACAACATTGTCACTGTAATAGTCACCAGCACGGCTTGCAATAGCTGTGTTAGGGTGATTTTCATCCATAAAGGTTTGCAGTTCAACCCACTTTGCACACATTTCCTTAATTTTTGAAGTAGGCACAATGGATTCCACAACTGGCATAGGCTTCTCAGGGTTAGCCCCAAACCCTTCAAAATCTTTCTTAACTTCCATACTAATTCTCACCCTTTTTACCACAGGGTTGGCACTAGAAGCTTTCTTGGGGCCCATGGTGACTTATTTTGCAGAAACAAGCACCAAAAACACTGTGATAATATGGAATGTACCGAATGTATGCTTAGATGCGAGCACACTGGCTGGCTTGTAAACACTGGCACGCACAGGGCAGTTCAGGCCTCACGTGGGCGCATCCTGGACGAATCGCGTGTGGCGGGTTTTTTAACGAGTGGCGAGGCAAAATTTTTGCGTTAAAATGTATCGTACAGTGGACCCCCGCATAACGATTTTAATCCGTGCAAGAGGGGTAATTGTTATGCGAAATAATCGGTATGCGAATGAATTTTCCCCATAAGAAATAATGGAAATCAAATTAATCCGTGCAAGACACCCAAAAGTATGAAAAAAAAATTTTTACCACATGAAATATACATTTTCCCACACACAAAGAGAAGGATACATGCACAATAGTAGAGTAGTACATGCACAGTATATATTGTGCATGTACTAGTCTACTAAATGAAGAATAAATGACACTTACCTTTATTGAAGATGCAGTAATGACTGATGAGACACTGTCCTGGGAGTGCCTTTTCCTCCTGAGTACTGTAGGTCCTGTTTGGCATTTTCTTCCAGAACAGGCCTTATCACACTGTGTATGCCACTACGATTCTTAAATCTCTCAAACCAACCTTTGCTGGCTTTAAATTCACCAATATGAGCACTAGTTCCAGGCATTTTTCCCTGTTCACCTGGGTGTTAGTCGACTTGTGTGGGTTGCATCCTGGGAGACAAGATTAAGGACCCCAATGGAAATAAGTTAGACAGTCTTCGATGACACTGACTTTTTGGGTTATCCTGGGTGGCAAATCCTCTGGGGTTAATTGTTTCTTGGTATTCTCAATAAGCCACACCAACAACGGTGCTACAGCAGCAGCAGCAGCAGCTGACAGTGGTACAGCAGCAACAGACGATGCTACAGCAGCAGCAGACGATGCTACAGCAGCAGCAGACGATGCTACAGCAGCAGCAGACGATGCTACAGCAGCAGCAGCAGCTGACGGTGGTACAGCAGCAACAGACGATGCTACAGCAGCAGCAGACGATGCTACAGCAGCAGCAGCAGCTGACGGTGGTACAGCAGCAACAGACGATGCTACAGCAGCAACAGACGATGTTACAGCAGCAGCAGACGATGCTACAGCAGCAGCAGCAGCTGACAGTGCAGCAGCAGCAGCAGCTGTACCACCAATAGTAGCGATGGTTGATTGGGGTTTATTATACAACCTGGCCAGCTCGGAGACACGCACTCCACTTTCATACTTATCAATGATCTTTTTCTTCATCTCTATTGTAATTCTCACCCTTATTGCTGTAGGGTTGGCACTAGAAGCTTTCTTGGGGCCCATGGTCACTTATTTTCCAGAAAAAGCACCGAAAACACTGTAATAATACGAAATATTCCGATTGTATGCTTGGATGTTACCGCGGAGGCTGGCTGGTAAACAATGCCACCGGCGGAACATGTGAGCGTGGCTCAGGCCGCACACTGGACGCGTCTCGGACGAAAATCGGTGAGCGGGTTTTTAAGCGGTATGTGAGGCAAAATTTTTGCGATTAAAACAAGCGGTATGCGGATTAATCGCTATGTGATGCCATCGTTATGCGGGGGTCCACTGTATACCGGATTTAACGTATACCAATGCCATTGTATGCCAGGGGTCCACTGTATACTAAAAATGTTATAAATGGTGCAAAGGTGACATTAAAACAATATCGAAGATGGCTGACACAAACCCACTACTATTACAGTATGCTCCTTGCTTAGTGACAAATTCATTTACTGACATGATCTTAGGAACAGAACTCCATCGTTAAGTGAGGAGAGGCTGTAATACCTTACTTGAAACATTTATTCTCTATATGCAAATGTATTACAGCAGCTTTACCAAGTATTCATATTATGGCTATTCTATAAAATAACACCATTGTTCTTACCACTTTCTGAATTCAAATGCTCCCTCTGGTTAAGGAATTCTTTTAAAATGGGAAGTGCAGTAGGTGTTCCAGGTGACGGCAGAGCCGCGGGTCCCTCCTTCACCATGATGCTTGCTTAAACACTGCTTTCTCTATCTGAAATTTTTTTCAATTCTGTTAGTTTATAAAATATATATTCTACAGCAGATGTATTGAGTAATTACCCATTACAATTGCCTATCTGTAGCTACCAAAGCAGAGCTATGCTCAGTTGGCAGCACTCTTGTCGTACACACACCGAGTGTCTATGGTTCAATTCCTGACGTGGGTGAAAATGTTGGGCATGTTTCTTTACACCTGCAGTCCCTATTCACCTAATGGTAAGTAGGTACCTGGATGTTAGTCAAATGGTATGGATGGCATCCTGGGTGACAAGATTAAAGGACCCCATTGGAAATAAGGCAGACAGTCCTCGAGGACACACCGACTTTCTTGGGTTATCTTGAATGGCTAACCCTCCTTACTCTGGGTTAAAAATCCAAACAAATCTTAGGGTGTCCAGACTTCAATAGTTTGTGTATCAATAATTTTTTGTAAATTCCCAATGGTTGAAGCGCTTACATCCCCCTGGAAATTTAAAATGTACTGTTTATTGAAAGATTTATATTACATGGGATTACTGCTATACTGTGTGGTGTTACCTGGAGTATACCTGGAGGGTATTATGAGGGTGAATGCCCCTGTGACCTAGTCCATGACCAGGCCTCCAATAATTATGTGGTGTTATTGCTATATAGTATGTTATTGTTATATTGTGTGGTGACATCTAAAAAAAAAAAAAAAGTTTAAGCATGATAATTGAAGTCTGGAGAATTGTGTATCTCTCTTGACATAATGTTTTTGAACAATCAGGACTACAAAACTTGGAACACATGCATGACTCCTGCCAGCCAAGCAGCAGTCACTTCAAAAAAAAAAAAAAAAAATTGACCATGATGACAAGCAATGAATTTGTAACATAAGTTCACAGCGCAAATTTCATACCAGCAGCTGTGGGTCCGTCAGCAAGGAGGGAAGATAAAGTGAGGGCGTTAGAGCGGCTACAACATCGGAGGTAAATTCTGCGTGCTTATTGATAGACAGAACAGTCTAACAGACTGAGGCGAACTGAAATTGGAACCCGACAATTCTCAGAGTGGAACTGGGCGCCTCTCCATGAGATACTGGTGAGTGAGACAAGTGTGCCCGATGCGAAGACGGGAGAGCGTAGCCTCCCAACCTCAGCATCGATGATAAGAAGACCAGGAACCTAAATTTGGCTTGATGGAATATAATTTGTTATGAGTCATTCCTTCAGGCTTAATTCAGGGAACTGGAGCACAGATCCAATTCCTAGATCAAGAGCCCCTCACCAGCGTCAAGGTACCTCCCTTGACCTGGAGTTTACCTGGAGAGAGTTCCGGGGGAGTTCCGAGGGGAGTTCGTTTAAAAATATAACATTTGTACAGAGTCTGGGAATCCAGGTCCAGCTCCTTGGATCAAGAACCCTCAGCCACTGCAAGGAACCTCCCTTGAGAGGTCCATTATTATTATTATAATCAAGGGGGAAGCGCTAAACCCGGAGGATTATACAGCACCTGGGGGGGGATGTGGAAGGCATTCAGGCTTAATTCGGGGAACTGGAGCACAGATCCAATTCCCTAAATCAAGAGCCCCTGACCAACATCAAGGAACCTTCCTTGAGGGGTTGAGAGGTACAGCAGGATTAAATATTACATCCACTGGGAAGCACTAAACCCATGTGGCTCATACAGCGCCTGAAGGAATGAGCTAATCTGGTTCGATCTAAGGAAGAGGAGCCCAACTCCTTGGATCAAGAGCCCCTCACCGGCTACACCTCAAATAAACCTACTTATATAACTCTTGCACCTCAATGGAAGGTAAATATTGCACTGTAAACCAACATAACTTTGTAACTATTGTTCATAATTACATGGATTATTTTTTCTACATTTAACTTTATTAATTAAAATTTTTACCAAATTCTGAAGTTCGTGCTGGTCATTTTTTAATACAATTAATATTACATTTTTTCTAGGAAATATGCACTATTAAGCTAGTATTACAACTAATGCACCTTATTGTGAAGTAAACTTATCATTAATATGGAAAAATATTAAAAAACTAATATATTCTAGCTACTTAAAAAATATTTAAAACTCCAACCTGTGTTCTAGCCATTTAAATAGATGACTGTGTTCGGAACTGTCAACAAGAACCATAAACACTATCTTATCTTATTTATCTTATTTTAATTAAGAATATGAACCAAAATATATACAGTTGTTTCAAGTAATTACTTTCCAAAACAACCGTCAAGGTATATTACTATATATAATTTTATAAATACTAAAGCACACGTTAGAACACAGTTCTAATGTAAAGTAAACAATGTCTCGCTGCCAAACATACGATGTTGGTAGTAGTGGGAGTAGTAGCAGGAGTAGTAGTAGTAGTAGCAGCAGGAGTAGTAGTAGTAGCAGGAGTAGTAGTAGTAGCAGCAGCAGGAGTAGTAGTAAGAGTAGCAGGAGTAGTAGTACTAGCAGTAGTAGTAATAGCAGGAGTAGTAGTAGCAGGAGTAGTAGTAGCAGGAGTAGTAGTAGAAGCAGTAGTAGTAGTAAGGGTAGCAGTAGTAATAGAGTAGTAGTAGTAGTAGTAGCAGGAGTAGTAGTAAGAGTAGTAGTAGTAAGAGTAGCAGGAGTAGTAGTAAGAGTAGTAGCAGGAGTAGTAGTAAGAGTAGTAGTAGTAAGAGTAGCAGGAGTAGTAGTAAGAGTAGCAGTAGTAATAGCAAGAGTAGCAGTAGTAGTAGTAATAGTAAGAGTAGTAGTAACAGCAGCAGTAACAATAGTAGCAATAATAGTAGTAGCAGCATTAACAGTAGTAGTAAGAGTAGAATAACGTCAAATGAACAATATCAACATTAAGCGGTAAACCTGTATGGGTAATTCATGGCTATCGTACAGATATGGATGTGTTGAAGATATCAAATCTTGTTATCTTTATCTCAATACCTCAATTTCAATTCGTTCTTCCCAAACCAAATTTATTCACGTTATTTACTAACACCTTTTTATTGCTTAGCCTAGACAGGGTTAGGTTATCTTAGACTACATAAGGCATATTATGTCGATGACATAGCTATATAAACCGTAAGTTTATTTAGGTAAAGGTATACATAAGTACAATTATCATACATAGTGTAAATTACCTAGGATAACCCCCCAAAAATTTTTGGGGGTTAACCCCCCAAAAAATCTCGGGGGGTTAATAACCCGCCGGGTTAAAAAATCGAAAGCAAATCCTATCATTCTACCAAATTCCAGGTGTATAATTACTATATAATGACCATGTTATAGACCAAATCATAGATATATGAACACATGCACTGACAGACACGAAATATTTCAGCAGATTTCAAAAATTTAATTTTCCTGCCAAGATTGAGCTATTCTTGGGATAGTCAACTACTGAGATTAATCTTCAGTGTAATATCCATATTATGCGTGCAGCCAGCAGTAACAGCCTGGTTGATCAGGCTCTGATCCACCAGGAGGCCTGGTCACAGACCGGGCCGCGGGGGCGTTGACCCCCGGAACTCTCTCCAGGTAAACATAAATTTAAATCCAGGTAAACATACCCATCCTGGGGGCACCTCTATATATATGACTTTTTTGGGTTATCCCGGGTTCTCTACACATATGCTCCCCTCAAGGAAGGTTCCTTGATGTTGGTGAGGGGCTCTTGATTTAGGGAATTGGATCTGTGCTCCAGTTCCCCGAATTAAGCCTGAATGCCTTCCACATCCCTCCCCAGGCGCTGTATAATCCTCCGGGTTTAGCGCTTCCCCCTTGATTATAATAATAATAATAATAATCTACACATATGCTGCTATGTATGATAATCTATGTAACTGTATTTGTGTATACCTGAATAAACTTACTTATATTAAATAACTACTGAGTATATTGAATGCCGAAACAAAAGGCATATATAAAATCTTATATTTTATATATATATATATATATATATATATATATATATATTATATATATATATATATATATATAATTATATTATTTATTTATTTATTTATATTGGTTTTGATCGTACCTCTGGCAACTCTGAGTCCACAGCTGCCAGACGTGTGACGTCACGTCACAACATGATCACGTGAACAGTCTACACAACATGGGTACATTTTTATTATTATTAAACATATAAATAAATGAACTGAGTCAAAGTACTTTTCCTGAGTTTATTATAGCATTTAGCATTACTTACACACACACACACACACACACACACACACACACAAGGAAAATAAAGATTTATATATATATATACATGGACTTGTTGAAGACTTGTTGAATATTCCACCTCCCTTACATTGTTTACAATTTGTTTGGCTACAGTTATTGGAATACATCTTTTTTTGTATATTGTAAAGAAAGTCCCCTTACTATGTTGGGCATTCAGGGCACTGTCCTCACGGACCCAACCTCTACCCTCCCTAACACTCCCAGTCACTCTCCACGCAATTGAATTCTGCCACTTTCCACCCTCATAACTCGTCACTTTCCACCCTCATAATTCCTGTCACTTTCCACCCTCATAATTCCTCCCACTTTCCACTCTCATAATTCCTCCCACTTTCCACCCTCATAATTCCTCCCACTTTCCACCCTCATAATTCCTCCCACTTTCCACTCTCATAATTCCTCCCACTTTCCACCCTCATAATTCCTCCCACTTTCCACCCTCACGGATCAAACCAGTCCCCAATAACACTGGATCCAGGCTCGTTATCACATCAATAATTATATGACTTATCTAATATATTCCAATTTTTTTAAATAATTTAGCAAAGATTTACAAATATTAGATTATTTTATCATGATCTATTTGTCATGGAATTACCCAAAGAAATTTACTTAGGACTTTTATCTCTTTTTAGGAACCTGATGAATGAATTCTGGAGCTGCTTCATCTGAAACAAAATATATTGGGGCCAGGAGCTGTAATTCGACCTCTGCAACCACACATAGGTGAGTACGTGTCTGTCAAATGAGAATATATTACATTTTGTCACTCGTGTCCATTATTATTATTATTATTATAATGAAAAATCACTCGTGTCCAGCTTGTTAAAAATCTAACTTGGCCTTTTGTAATTATCTTTTTTCTTTACATCGTCTAATTTATAGTCTAAGTTCTGTTCATCCTCAAAATTTGGTAAAAATTCGGGTACTTATTTATTGCTAGTAAGTTTTATTTAGGCACATAAGTACAATTATCATACATAGTGTATATTACCTAGTGTAGCCCAAAAGAAAAAGTCAGCACCTATCGCCCAGGTACCTGTTTACTGAGAATAGGCAATGAATGGAAGGAGACTAACACCCTATACCTATTTACTGCTAGGTCAAGAGGCAATAGTTATAGGGAAACTAACACTAGGGTACCTAATTTACCTCTAGGTGAACAGGGGTAAGGAGACTAATACCCAAGTATCTATTAACTGCTAGGTAAACAGGGACAATAGCTCCAAGACCATCACCTGGGGACCTATTTACTGCTAGGCGAACAGGAGCAACAGGTGTAAGGAGACTATCACCCAGAATCCTATTAACTGTTACATGTACAGGAAACAACAGATATGAGGAGACGCCCATATACCTGGAACTGAAATTGTAAGCTAAAAGCCCCCCACTAAACTAAGATTCCTCACTTTTTTTTACCTTTAATATGTAATAAATAATTGTTAGGCTTTAAATGATCGAATCTCTTTCATATATACAAACTCGCCATTGAATTTAAAAGGAAAACGTAGGTTGAATATCCACATATTGGGGGTATCTGAAGTAAACTTTCTCGTCGTGGTTAGTAATCAAATCAAATCAAGTTTATTCTCTATAAGGATTACAATACTGAGTTTACAGAATTTGGATATTGTATGGTTTACATGTTTTAAAATACTAATTACAGAGGGGGCCACTAGAACACCTAGCATGGCTGGGCATTTCGGGCAGACTTAGATTAATTCTTAACTTTAAAATATTACAAATTAAGAGGTAAGTTGGTATTAAGGCTAAGTGACTAAATACTAGTTTGTGAGTTTAGCAATGTGAATGCTTTTGTTTTCGCACAATACATAGTTTCAGTATTGGAGTATCACAGGCCAACTTATGACTAGTTAGGATTCATTATTTTAAGATTAAGATAGATATTTCTGTGTTTATGTTCAAGTGGGTGAGTGTAAGTGTGAACCACCATGTGGTATTCATGTAATTAGTTGACGGGGTGTATCAGGGAGATAAGATGTTTTCTAATGGTAGTTTTGAAGGTGATGAATGTGTCTGCAGTTCTAGAGTATTCAGGGAGGGTGTTCCAGATTTTTGGGCCTTTGACATACATTGAATTTTTGTAAAGGTTTAGTCGGATATGGGGATTGTCATAGAGATGTTTATGTCTAGTGTTATGCCTGTGGGTTCTGTCACAACTATCAAGAAAGCGTTTTAGGTCAAGGTTAATATTGGAATTTAAGTTCCTGTAGATGTAGATTGCACAGTAGTAAGTGTGGATGTACTGAACAGGGAGTAAGTTTAGATCTATGAAGAGTGGGGGGGGGGTGTTGCCAGGGATGGGATTTAGTGATTATTCTTACTGCGGCTTTTTGTTGGGTTATTATTGGCTTTAGGTGAGTTGCTGCAGTTGATCCCCAAGCACAAATAGCATAGGTGAGGTATGGATAAATGAGTGGTATAGTGGTATAGTTTATTTAGGCACAGATACACATATGTACAATTATCATATATAGTGTCAAGTACATAGAATAATCCCCAAAAAGTTAAAGTGACCTATTTCCATTAGGGTTCTTGAGGCTTTATTTCTTTTATTTTATGGGAGGAGTTCCAAAGCCGTAGGGGTCATGTAGTTCAGTTGGGAATGGAAGGCTCAAGGGAGGATAACTTCGATTCTTTGGATCAAGAGCCCTTCACTGACGTCAAAGCAACTCCCTCAAGGTGTGTATAGCAATAATTACTTGTTTTTTTCTCTAAGCAGTAAACGGGATGGATCGAAATGTCGCACTGCCAACAATGGTGAAGAAAAGTCAAGTTGTTGAATAAACATTTTTATAGAACATTCCTGCCATTGTGGTTGAAGGCCGAAGTAACTAACACCAGATTTGTTCAGTCGACGCCATAAACACTAATTTCCACAAACGAAATTATAAACGATGTAATGCAAACAAAATGACACATTGGCTTGAAGTGACTTCAATCCTGTGATGTCGGCTGGTTGATGACACTGACTATATGACTGTCACTAAGGCTACATGTCACATTTACCACAAGTCAAAAATAAATTAATCCCTAAAACAGTACACCAAAAAATATACACTTCTCAGAGTATATCCTCCTCAAAGGGGTGTAATGTATCACGCACTTTAAAAGTAGGAATTTCTAATATCTTTTTAACCAAGTCTTCCTTCCCACTGATATACATTGGTATACAGTGGAACACACTGAAAAATAATGGTATATACGATGTGAAAAACAAATTTAAACGCAATTCACATCATTTAGTTTCAAAATGTCAAGCATTTAGCGTTTCCCGGATACTCATGGTACATTTCCTATCTTGTTTGATGCGGCGCTCTGTGATTTCATAAGGGTTTAGTACTTTTTTATGCAAATAATTGTTTTTTAATCCATCTTATTCCTATTATCCCCTCAAGGAAGGGTCCATGATGCTGATAAAAGAACTCGAGCTAAAACTAAACTTGTCCTTCTCTTTCTTAAATTGAACTTGATTACCTTCCATTCTCCTAGTACTGTATGACCTCCCTGACGGATTTACTGCTCCCACTTCAATGCAGTTACATTCACGGGAAGGCACTAAACCCGTAGAGGTTATACATCACTTGAGGAAAGGAAGGAAAGAACAGGTCCACGTCTTTGGATCAAGATCCCCTCGCCAGCATCAAGAATCTTCTCTTGAGGGGAATAATTATTTTTTTTTACACAATAAGTTAGATGTGACACCAGGCGCCGGGGAGCGATGATATTTGAACTCAGTAGCAGATAATAAGATACAAAAAAAGCGATGTCAACAGATCAGTGTGGTCACACCTACAAACACAACAGTACTTTTAAATAGCCGCGTCCTTCGCATAGTTGCAACACACGCTGTAGCTTAAATAGCAGCGACCTCCGGCACTACAAAATATGGTTGAAAGAGAATGACTGCTGCGGATACTCACATGAGGTGTAGGTGAAGACAGGACTCCAATGGAAATGAGTCATTTTGACTTTTTTGGGGTTATCCCGGGTTCTCTACACATATGCTGCTATGTATGATAATCTATGTAACTGTATTTGTATATACCTGAATAAATTTACTTACAGTGATGTCGGTGTGTCAGTTGGAGCACTATAGTGAGGTCCGTGTCAGGTGGAGCACTATATTGAGGTCGGTGTATTAGGCGGAGCACTAGTGAGGTCCATATGTCAGGTGGAGCACTGTAGTGAGGTAGGTGTCAGGTGGAACACCTAGTAAGGTCGGTATATCAGGTGGAGCACTAGAGAGGTCCGTGTGTGTCAGGAGGAGGCAGGCAAGGAGCACCCCAGTAAGGTCCGCGAGTGTGTCAAGAAGTAGGCAAGGAGCACCCCAGTAAGGTCCGCGAGTGTGTCAAGAGGCAGGCAAGGAGCACCCCAATAAGGTCCGCAAGTGTGTGTCAAGAGGAAAGCAGGGAGCACCCCAGGAAGGTCCGCTAGTGTGTCAAGAGACAGGTAGGAAGCACCCCAGCAAGGTCCGCGAGTGTGTCAAGAGGTAAGCAGGGAGCACCCCAGGAAGGTCCGCGAGTGTGTCAGGAAGCAGGCAGGTAGCACCCCAGTAAGGTCCGCGAGTGTGTCAAGAGGAAGGCAGGTAGCACCCCAGTAAGGTCCGCGAGTGTGTCAAGAGGAAGGCAGGTAGCACCGCAGTAATGTCCTCGAGTGTCAGGAAGCACCCCAGTAAGGTCGGTGAGTGTGTGTCAGGAGGGCAGGGAGCACCCCAGTAAGGTCGGTGAGTGTGTGTCAGGAGGAGGGCAGGGAGCACCCCAGTAAGGTCCACAGGTGTGTCAAGAGGAGGGCAGGGAGCACCCCAGTAAGGTCCACAGGTGTGTGTCAAGAGGAGGGCAGGGAGCACCCCAGTAAGGTCCACAGGTGTGTGTCAAGAGGAGGGCAGGGAGCACCCCAGTAAGGTCGGCGAGTGTGTGTGTGTGTGAGCACTGGTTGGAGCACAGTGTTGTATCAGCACACACCACCAGACAGCGACTGAGACAGAGGCGAGGCAGACGCCCTCTTTTACACCCTCGCCCGCCCTCGGTTGCAACCTCTCGCCTCCTCAAACATCACATTATTGTTGTTATAGTCGCCACGAAGCGCTAAACCCGCCAGGCTCACACACCTGCGCAAGGGAGACATGAGAGATGATCAGGTTAGACCCAAGAGAGGATGGCTTCATTTTTTCTAGTGTAGTGAAGATATTACTAGTTTCTAGTTATTCTCTAGGTAGTTTATGTCGACACAGGTACACAAGTGCAGTTATCATAGTGTAAATCACCCAGGATAACCCCAAAAAAGGTCACAGTGACTTAGAGCCAATGGGGTCACTACAGAATATATATTTTTCATTCATAACTTCGTCACACTCCGTAATATAGAGACATAGATGTTATTTTACAGCTAGGCTTTAAATAATAAGATATTACAAAGACAACAATGGAAATAAGTCACTTTGTCTGACTTTTTTTTGGGTTATTCTGAGTAATTTACACTATGATAATTGTACTTATGTGTACCTGTATCTAAATAAACTTACTAAGATCCAAGGCTTTTCAGTTATTTATTTCTAACAAACTTAAACAGAAAACAAATCGAATACAAAAGAAAATTCGGAATTTTATTTATTTTAAATCGAGGCTCAACGATATAATTTAATTATGTGAATAAATGTCCAGGATTACATAGCACTCCAATTCCTGGAATCAAGAACCTAGTTAAATCTCATTCCTTACGTGCTGTTTTCCCCTCTTGAGGGTTTAGCGCTTCGCCGCGAATATAAAATCCACTAGTTTTTTTTGTCTGTTTAATATAAGTGTTTAATCAACTATAATGATCAATATTAACCACAAAAGTTACTTTGGAAAGGTAATGTGGAAATTTATTTGGTCCCTAAAGTTCCACAGGACCGATCCGACATGGCCGTATTGGAACGGCTGAGCTGAGTGGCCCTTAAACCCTCCCAAACAAACAGCATTCTCTCTAGTTGGCGTGGATTGTTGGTAGGCATTTATTTAATTTATAGATTTACTCTTCAGGGAAGGAGTAGGTAGTTTTACTGTTAGTACTTCGAACAGGCGATAAATGACATGCCCATGCACTCTGCCCCAGGGCCAGACTCATGGAACTCTGTGTTCATCAAGAACTGCAAGAAGCCCCTATCACGAGCCTTTTCCATCCTATGGAGAGGGAGCATGGACACGGGGGTCGTCCCTCAGTTACTAAAAACAACAGACATAGCCCCACTCCACAAAGGGGGCAGTAAAGCAACAGCAAAGAACTACAGACCAATAGCACTAACATCCCATATCATAAAAATCTTTGAAAGGGTCCTAAGAAGCAAGATCACCACCCATCTAGAAACCCATCAGTTACACAACCCAGGGCAACATGGATTTAGAACAGGTTGCTTTCCCGTCTGTCTCAAACTGGATCACTACGACAAGGTCCTAAAAGCACTAGAAGACAAAAAGAATGCAGATGAATATATACAGACTTTGCAAAAGCCTTCGACAAGTGTGACCATGGCGTAATAGCGCACAAAATGCGTGCTAAAGGAATAACAGAAAAGTCGGTCGATGGATCTATAATTTCCTCACTAACAAAACACAGAGAGTGTCGTCAACAGAGTAAAGTCCGAGGCAGCTACGGTGAAAAACTCTGTTCCACAAGGGACAGTACTAGCTCCCATCTTGTTCCTCACCTTTATATCCGACATAGACAAGGATGTCAGCCACAGCACCTTTTCGTTTCCTTTGCAGATGACACCCGAATCTGCATGACAGTGTCTTCCATTGCAGACACTGCAAGGCTCCAGCGGACATAAACCAAATCTTTCAGTGGGCGCAGAAAACAATATGAAGTTCAACGATGAGAAATTTCAATTACTCAGAATGGTAAACAAAGAGGAAATTAAATCTTCATCAAGTACAAAACAAATTCTGGCCACAAAATAGAGCGAAACACCAACGTCAAAGACCTGGGAGTGTTATGTCGGAGGATCTCACCTTCAAGGACCATAACATTGTATCAATCGCATCTGCTAGAAAAAAAGACAGGATGGATAATGAGAACCTTCAAAACTAGGGAGGCCAAGCCCATGATGACACTCTTCAGTCACTTGTTCATCTAGGCGGGAATATTGCTGCACTCTAACAGCACCTTCAAGGCGGGTAAATTGCCGACCTAGAAAAATGTACAGAGAACTTTCACGGCGCGCATAACGGAGATAAAAACACCTCAATTACTGGGAGCGCTTGAGGTTTCTAAACCTGTATTCCCGGAACGCAGGAGGGAGAGATACATGATTATATACACCTGGAAAATCCCAGAGGGACTAGTACCGAAATTAACACACGAAAATCACTCACTACGAAAGCAAAAGACTTGGCAGACGATGCACCATCCCCCAATGAAAAGCAGGGGTGTCATATACACGTTAAGAGACCATACAAAAAAGTGTCAGGGGCCCGAGACTGTTCAACTGCCTCCCCGCACACATAAGGGGATTACCAACAGAACCCCTGGCAGTCTTCAAGCTGGCACTGGACAAGCACCTAAAGTCAGTTTTCCCGATCAGCCGGGCTGTGGCTCGTACGTTGGTTTGCGTGCAGCCAGCAGCAACAGCCTGGTTGATCAGGGGCTGATCCACCAGGAGGCCTGGTCACAGACCGGGGCCGCGGGGGGGTTGACCCCGAAACTCTCTCCAGGTAAACCCAGGTATATTAATATTAGGTTTACTAAGGCAACGTAGAATATTGTAACCTAAACCTTAACATAGGTAGTAATAGGCCGATAATGTAGGCAAACACTAGGATAAGTTAAACTAGGGAGAACTGGCAGCCCTAGTTTGAATTGAAGAGACGAGGGTCTGGAAGAGAGACCAGCTCGTTCTTCTTAAGACAGACATGCCAACTGGACCAAGACTTCTGTAACATCAGATGTGCGCCGCCCACAGTGTCTTCACATATGAGAAAAACTGGGGAAATCGGTAGATGCACCTCGATGTACCAGGTAGATGACCCACCGTCAGGCCCATACAGTAAGACAAGACTCCCACTTTATATCGGTAGATTACGGGCCAGTGTCTGGGGAGAATAGTGAGTGAGTTTGATCTGTGGCCCGGAGTTCAACAGGCAGTGCATTGCCCAGTAAGATACCAGTGTCTCACTGCAGTCAGGAACCATAGTGCTGTGTTCTGCATATTTTATACTAGGGGATACATCCGCCTCTGGATATGAATATTCTGAGGTGCAGGCAGGACAACTAATAACGAATGAATATTGCAGGAATTAAGCTCCGGTTTGCACGTGGTTTCTGAGGGGAAGTCCAACGGTGGCTAAGGCTAAGCTTAGGGAAGTTGAAGAACAGATATATGCTTGCAACACCAAGTTTAGTCCTTTATACGTGCATGCAGGCGAGTTTTCTTGCAAACATCACCTCATTTGTTGAAAATCTGTCCTATAAAGCCACTAGTGGAGGCGAGGGTCCCACCTCAGAGCTCGGTGTCAACAGATTTTTTGCCAGGCAGGTGACTCGCTTGGAGGCAGTCCACACAAATTTTCAACCGGTAAATTGGTGGCTGTTTTTTACATTATATTATTGTATGGTAATACACATTGTGGAATTTTTAATTCGCGTATCAACTAAAAGTTTCTTTTTCACTATGCAGGGCCAGAGCTGAGTCTCGACCCTGTTAATCACAATTAGGTGAGTTCAGAGAATAGTAAAACAATCTATGTATATGTCATATATATTAATTAATGAAAATAAGATACCAGATATACTAAGGCAAAATTTCCTAAATTCCCTTGAAACTGATAAGTGAACTGTAGATAAAAATCCAATTGTACACCTGTTAACCCTTTTGGGGCCTAGTTCCTAGGCCTATGTTATCCATATGCTCTTGTACTACCATCCACAGGCTGGATATGAGTTACACAATAAACTAGCCACTACCATCGGCACAGATGATTATGAGGTACACAATAAACTAACCACTACCATCCACAGGATGGATATGAGGTACACAATAAACTAACCACTACCATCCACAGGATGGATAGAGGTCCACATAAACGAGCACTACATCCACAGATGGATATAGGTACAGACATAAAGTCTAGCCACTACCCATCCACAGAATGGATACGAGTACACATTAACCTAAGCCACTACACCACAGGATGGATATGAGGGTACACAATAAACTACCACTACCATCCACAGGATTGGATATTGAGGTACTCAATAAACTAGCCACTAACCATCCACAGGATGGATTATGAGGTACACAATAAAACTAGGCCACAACCATCCACAGGCTGATATGAGGTACACGATTAAACTAGACACTACCATCCACAGGATAGGATATGAGGTACACAATAAACTAGCCACTACA